GATAAGGGCAATAACTCATGAGGATAACGGCACTGCGCCTTTTTCAAAAATGTTTTATGAGTTTGCAGAACACATTGGGAGGGATCTTAGACCATTCCTTAATAAATAATCTTTCCAGATCAATGATATCCTTTGTCTGCACTTATGGGACCGCCCTCTTCAATTAAAACCACAGGTTTTCAATGGGGTTCAAGTCCGTAGATTGAGATGGCCTCTTGTGGTTGCTGCCGTCCCTTACAATGTGCCACGTTTTTGCAATAACACTTTAATCGATGGATCAAACACACATAGCAGTGTACTGTAGTAATACTGTTCATCTCCTCCTCCTCTCGATCACCTTCAAATAGGATCACTCCCCACCTGTCAGCCTGCCATTTCTCCTCTCAGGAGGGGAGGACGAGGACGAGGAGAGCGAAGGATAGCCGATGATCCAGGAAGGACAAATTATTGGTTTTAGTCCATCTGTCGGCCAGAGAGCTAATCTCCTCCTGGAATTGTGGCGCTCCCCTGCCAGCCGGGCCCACCCAAACATGACCCACCCCCTCTCCTCCATGATTCAATATGACCCACCATCGCTCCTCCGCCCATCAATATTACCAGTGATTAACCCATTGAGTGACTAATGAAAATAACTAGAAGAGTTACCCACACTGTACTTGATACTGACGGTATCATCTACAGTATATTCCTTGCCAGATTCTTGCCAGAATATACAAAGGGGGTAGATGCCTCGAATGGTAGATGCACTGTTTGTGAACTATTGTTATGTTTTTTTAGGTTTCAGAGCTTTGAGACGCGTGGTTTGGGGATTTTGTGTATGTGACACCCTCCTGTCCTTTAATTGTGTTTCAGATATCCGCTGAAACAAAATGATCCGCGGAGAGTGGTTTTGTTTTGGTTCTGAGATCGCTTGTAAGCATTTTAAACCAACGTTCTCTCTCTGTAATGATTTTCAGTTGGCCCCGACCCAGAATTTATTTTTGCTGGGACATTTAAATATATAAAGTAGGTCATGGATAGGTAGCTAGAGGCTCATTGGCCTCTGTGTTTTATATCCCCAAACCGGTTTGACTTACTTAAAGTCCTAAAAGCATCTCTCAATGTCCTAATGGGCCATTACCAAGGTACATGGGTGATCTCATGAGATGGCAACAGGAGTTAATATTTCTGCTCCTACAGATTATTCTTTCAAGAGCTTAGTGTTTGGTAGTGCATTGTGGAGCACTCTGGGGATTGTTATCTATAGGTTCTTGAATCTCCCCACACTCACTGACAATGTCTTTCTCTTCTTCCCATCTCTTCTCATCTCTCTTTCTTTTTCTCTCTCTCCCTCTCCTCGCTCACTTTCTTCCTTCCTCTGTCCTCAGGGCTTCTTTCGGAGGAGCATTCAGAAGAACATGGTGTATACGTGTCACCGGGAGAAGAACTGCATCATCAACAAGGTCACCAGGAACCGCTGCCAGTACTGCCGGCTGCAGAAATGCCTGGAAGTGGGCATGTCCAAGGAGTGTGAGTAGTACTGCACTACTATACTATACTATACTATACTATACTATACTATACTATACTATACTATACTATACTATAACATCCTGCCAACCCTAACCTCAGTACACTATACACTACACCTCCCAGTCAGGACATCAACCACAGTCAGAGGCCATGCCATTATCTAAACTATGCACTGACAATCAGTTAATTTCCGTTCAACTGCCATCTGGGATGAAATGTCTGGGTATTTGATTGAGTTCTGATTGATAGGATAGCATGCATCACTGAACTACACTACACTACACCATCCAGTCAAGCCTGTACTACACAACACAAACTCGGATCACAATCATCATTCTCTATCTTCTTGCCCTTTTGTGCTGTTGTCTGTGCCCAATAATGTTTGTACCATGTCTTGTGCTGCTACCATGTTGTGCTGCGGCCATGTTGTGTTGCTACCATGTTGTTTTCATGTTGGGTTGCTACCTTGCTTGTGTTGTTGTGTGTTGCTGCCATGCTATGGTGTTGTCTTAGGTCTCTCTTTATGTAGTGTTGTGTTGTCTCTCTTGTTGTTATGTGTGTTTGGTCCTATATTTATATATATTTATTTAATCCCAGCCCCCGTCCCCGCAGGAGGCCTTTTGCCTTTTGGTAGGCTGTCATTGTAAATAAGAATTTGTTCTTAACTGACTTGCCTAGTTAAATAAAGGATAAATAAAATAATTGAGCATCAGAACAGTGTGTGTGTAGTGTACACTGCCCCGATACACAGTTTGGCTTTGCACAGTAATAGTGGTAGCATAGTGAGTCTTAGTGGACCTCTGTGATGAATATGTTAGCACCTGCGGAGAGTGAAAGAACAGGCGCCGCCTCTGATCAGTGCATCCCTGGGGCTGTGTGAACACACGCCCTCCCCTCACACACATACACACACACACACTGTCAGACCAGATGAGCTAATTGGTGGAGGTGAGAGGAAAGAGCTATGACCGGAGGGGCCTTACCTTGGCCTAACGACACACACACACACAGGTCCACACTGTATACATTGTAAATATACACACGCACAGGCGGGCACACTCCTCCCTCCATCCCTCTCTCTCTCTCTCTGTCGTCTCTCTACTATGGTATTTACCCTCTTCATGGTGCTGTAAGCGCTCTGCGAGTTTCCCACATGGCTGGCCGTCTGAGGCCTACTGTAAAGTAAGTTATCCTCAGCGCTCCTTACCTCTGAATGGGCCCATTAATCATGATTATGAGGATTATGGCAGGCAGCTCTGCAACACCCACCACAGGGACAGACGGTGGATAGGTTGAAATGACACTGCCATCTTGAGGCTTGAATTTGGTACTGCATGGCTGAAGGTAAATAGACAGGATAGGTAGAAGTGGAACCTAACAACTGATATAGGGTCAGATGTTTTTTCTGTTCATCTCCCTAATGGTTAAGGGCCAACTTCTATCTCAAGTTCAAAAGGTAGCCATATAGGTTCACTCTTAAGGCGTCAGCATGCTTCAGTTCATTTGGCACCAAGCTAGGCGAACCGAATGAGTGTGCTCGCATACTCCCTTCAACCTTCGCTTGAAAAACAAGAAAAAAGCGACAATACTGTACTTTTTGTCCATTTTGAGACACCGTAGCCAGTATATACTTCCTCACAATAGTCAGAATTATCTAAGATAACTCAAATCTGTCATTAATTTTTACGTTTTTGATCTTAGTCGCGCAATTTTAAGATGTTTGGTGCAGTATTTCTCAATGAAATAAATTGCATGAAAACGAGTCATCTCTTGTTGAATGATTGAATGATAGCAGACTTTATTGAAGAATCCCTACTGTTGACCAATCACCGCCGAAGGGGCATAGACTTCGGCTACCGACTTCGGCTTTCCTCAAGGAAAGAAATGTTGTGTTCCCGAACAGCCGATAAAACCCTTACCAAAGTCCAAAACGAACAAAAAACGTCACAAAATGTCATCATAATATACAGTTGAAGTCGGAAGTTTACATACACTTAGGTTGGAGTCATTAAAACTCGTTTTTTAACCACTCCACAAATTTCTTGTTAACAAACTATAGTTTTGGTAAGTTGGTTAGGACATCTACTTTGTGCATGATACGTAATTTTTCCAACAATTGTTTACAGACAGATTATTTCAATCTTTGCCTGACATCATGGGAAAATCAAAATAAATCAGCCAAGACCTCAGAAAAAAGATTGTAGACCTCCACAGGTCTGGTTTGTCCTTGGGAGCAATTTCCAAATGCCTGAAGGTACCACGTTCATCTGTACAAACAATAGTATGCAAGTATAAACACCATGGGACCACGCAGCCGTCATACCGCTCAGGAAGGAGACGCGTTCTGTCTCCTAGAGATGAACGTACCTAGGTGCGAAAAGTGCAAATCAATCCCAGAACAACAGCAAAGGACCTTGTGAAGATGCTGGAGGAAACAGGTACAAAAGTATCTACAGTAAAACTAATCCTATATCGACATAACCTGAAAGGCCGCTCAGCAAGGAAGAAGCCACTGCTCCAAAACCGCCATAAAAAAGCCAGACTACGGTTTGCAACTGCACATGCGGACAAAGATCATACTTTTTGGAGAAATGTCCTCTGGTCTGATGAAACAAAAATAGAACTGTTTGGCCATAATGACCATCGTTATGTTTGGAGGAAAAAGGGGGCTGCTTGCAAGCCGAAGAACACCATCCCAACCGTGAAGCACGGGGTTGTCAGCATCATGCTGTGGGGGTGCTTTGCTGCAGGAGGAACTGGTGCACTTCACAAAATAGATGGCATCATAAGGAGGGAAAATTATGTGGATATATTGAAGCAACATCTCAAGACATCAGTCAGGAAGTTAAAGCTTGGTCGCAAATGGTTCTTCCAAATGGACAATGACCCCAAGCATACTTCCAAAGTTGTGGCAAAATGGCTTAAGGACAACAAAGTAAAGGTATTGGAGTGGCCGTCACAAAGCCCTGACCTCAATCCTATTGAAAATGTGTGGGCAGAACTGAAAAAGCGTGTGCGAGCAAGGAGGCCTATAAACCTGACCGTTACACCAGCTCTGTCAGGAGGAATGGGCCAAAATTCACCCAACTTATTGTGGGAAGCTTGTGGAAGGCTACCCAAAATGTTTCACCCAAGTTAAACAATTTAAAGGCAATGCTACCAAATACTAATTGAGTGTATGTAAACTTCTGACCCACTGGGAATGTGATGAAAGAAATAAAATCTCTCTACTATTATTCTGACATTTCACATTCTTAAAATAAAGTGGTGATGCTAACTGACCTAAGTCGGGGAATTTTTACAAGGATTAAATGTCAGGAATTGTGAAAAACTGAGTTTAAATGTATTTGGGTAAGGTGTATGTAAACTGTATGCACGAACTCTTCCGAATGGTTTCGACTGGGAAGCATGTGGACGGACGCCTTTACTCCCCTTCTATTTATTATCTGTGTGTGTACTAGAGGGTTATGTGAGGGTGTAGTGTTGTGATGTCTTTCTCCATGTGTCCCTGTGTCCTGGCCGATGACTTTGGTTGTGTTGCGGGGCTCCGTCGGAGGGGGAAGGAGAGGATCTGGCCATCTGGGGGCCTGCAGGGAGCTACCGAGGAGGCTGGGAGGGCGGGCCGGCCGGCCGCTCTGCTAGGGGACGTCTCAGTGACCTTGCGTCCGCTCGACAGCTCCGACAACACCATCAGGACCAGTGCCAGGTGGCCGTGCCAAGGCAGAGGGGGAGAGAGAGTGAAAGAGAAGGAGGGATGGGGGTTACCAGGGAAAGCCTGGGAGAGGAGTCAGTGATGTCGAGGAAAGGCAGGGCTGGCCTGCAGTTTTTGGGGAAATGCTCTTTTTCAATGTCAATGTTGACTATTTTTGTTTCCTTAGGCGTGCCGTTAAAACTCAGCTGGTGACTACTGTATGCGTGAATGTAGAGTTGATTCATGTCATGAAGTTGTGGGGTTTTGAATTTGGTTTCTAACTAAGTGAGCCTGATGTACTACACGTTTGTATGATGTCTACTGGTGAACTTGTGTTTAGAATACAGTCTGTGTACGACAGAGAATGTGCCCATTCAAGTTATAGGATTTGCTGTGTTTTGAATTTGGTTATTACCATTCAGATTATATGATGGTCCATTTCATTGTACATGACCCCATCCCATCAGCGTAAACGTTCCCCGCTGTGTTACTGTGGTTGGGTGTGTAGCTCTGTTAGTTAGTGTGTGCCCTGTCGAGGGGGTAAACCTGTGCCCCTCCTTGTCGCCTCAGCTCCTCGGTCCAGCTCCAAAGGCGGGATGGCGTTGGGCCCCCAGCCGCCGCCCCCACCCTTGGAGACCGGGAGGGGACAGACTGGGGCGCCAGGGGCAGACAGGGCAGCTCCCCCGGGTAAGCAGCCACCCCCCTCCTTCCCCAACCCCCCTTCCTCCGTCCCCGCTTTCCCTCCATCCATCCCTCATCACCTGTTTTCATCTCCTGTGCAGTGCCCTAGCATCTCCAGCATCTATGAAAGGAGGAGGAGGAGGAGGAGGGTAGGAGAGGATAGAGGGAGAATAAGTTTCATCATTGTCCGGCCGCAACAGAGCAGCGAGAGAGAGGCAGGCAGGAGAAGCAGGGGAACATTGACATTTTTATCTTTCCATTGAATTTAATCTGAGTGATGGACGACCTGTCATGGCTTTAATTTTCCTCCTTCAAATTATCCCTCTCTGTCAGCTGGCCCCCTCTCTCTTTCTCATACACACACGTGCACGCACCCACACATTCATACACACACACGCAGACACATTGTCAAACCTTTTTATTATAAAATCCACTATGAGTACAAGTGATTGATTGATGGAAGTGTATGTATTGCTTCTAGCATACCCTACACAATACAATACTGTACGCTACAATGAAGATACTGCTAGTATGTGGTTCATATCAGTAGGAAACACAATTCCACACGGTCATACCATTTTTAGAATGCTAGAAAGAATCCCTCATAGCTCAAACACATTCATATTCAAACAAAGCATTCATGTAGACACATTCCACGATTTACACACACACACACACACACACACACACACACACACACACAAAAGAATGCGGTCGGCTGAATTACTTCTCCCCCTCGCTAGCCCAGTTATGGATCGCCCTCCAGTTATTGCACACAGCATTTCTCTGTGAATGATCGCGAGTCCCGGCTAATAGTTATTTAATGACTGCATTAAATTGTGTTGTGCAGCTTTTGATTGCAGTGTCAATTTGTCAGCATGGGTAATGTCTCTGCATTAAGGATGCTCCACTTTTATTTAGGGAATTCATTTAACGTCTCCAGCGGGGGTGCTGAGTCGCTTTGACAGCCACAGAGAGCGGGGGAGGGCCTGAGACACACATATACACACACACACACACACACACACACACACGCATGCACAAACACACATCATTCGCAACTCTCCTCACCTGTCAACTCCTTTAAAGGTGGATGGACTTTGTGGTAAGGACAAATAGCTGTTGGCAATGCATAGTTGTATAGATGTAAGGAAGTGCTTTACTTGATTGCTTTTTATTTGTTAGTGATGCATATGAATGAACATCTCTGTAATTGTGCCAAATTTTGACAAAAGTCACATTTTCATCTGCAGTCCCTTGGGTCTTAGTGATGTGATGGTGTGCTTACTTAGCAAAGCAAGATCTGCTGTTGTGTAGTGTGTGAGCATCAGACCTGGATCCCCCTTGTCTCTCTGTAAGTTATCCCAGGGAGGGAGGCCTGTCTGTGGTCAGTTCTGTGTACCCTTATAATGGTTAGGATTTGGACAGGGGAAGCTGATCCAGGATCTGTGCCTAAGGGTAACCTCTGGGTCGAGGTCTGGGACTACTGTGTCTGCACAGAACAACCCCACTAACTGGGACTCGAGCTGGGGACTGGGGAAAGTGGGAGAAGAGGAAGAAAAAAACACAGGGAAGTCCTATCAGAGAACAAGTGGAGCTTGGAGCGAGATAGGGGGACAGAGGGAAATAAGCTAGCTATTGAGGATTAAAGAGAGGGAGAAGAGAGGAATGCGCAACAGTGATAAAGAAAGAAAGAGAGAAAGAGAGAAAGAAAGAGAGCGAATGCTAGAGGGGGTTATGTAGCTAGTAGGAGCGGGGGCTCAGTCGAGCCCTTTAAACCATTACCGCCTGGATATTTGTCATATTATGTTATTAGATTAGCCAGGGCCTCTAATGAAAGCAGTAGCAATGTGTCAGCATTATGAACGACCTTATCCGCCAACGCAATTTATCACCTAACCTGCCCTCCCTCGTCAGACCTATACACCCCAGGGTGGGTGAGGGGAGGGGGGAGGGGTAGTAGGGAGGAGGGAGAGAGCTGGATATACCCTAATGGCTTTCCAATGCTAAACACAGCAGCGGCTGGTGTATTTGTCATTTCGGGAGTGAGTGTACCTACTTTCGCAGCAGCGGTCGACGCGCCGCAGGGAATGGCATTTCTCAGGCTTTCCTTTTGGATTATTTCCTCAGTAATATCTCTGTCCCCCCTGGGCCGACCTCTCATGGTCGTTTATCTTCCCGGATGGGATCAGAGCTGGAATGTGTTCTGGTTGCTTCTTAGCTACAGAGGCCCTCGGAGCCTGTTGTTCTCCTACCTTCACTTAATCATCCTCTTCTATCGGGTATCTGTCCTGCTAGCTAGCCTACCTACACCACCTCCTGTCCTTTTGCTACCTCAACTTTATATCTCAATCTCCATCTTAGTTTCGGTCTAGATACCGCCACAATTAAAATACTGTTCCACGATTCTTCCCCCAACACAAGTGAAATCATGGGTGCTTTACCCGCAGTTTCATTTCACTGATGGTCTTGCCATTTGATTTCGGTTTTATTCCTGTCTTTGATATCACAATTGCTTTCTAGTTTAGGCGGGAAATGCAGTATCCTTCCTAGACTGTTTGTAAACCAACCAACTGAAACCGAGACAAACTCAATTTACCTCAGAAGCCCCCTTCTTTTTAACACACCTTTTAGACATTCCACTGCTAAATGGCCGCCCTGTTCCTAAACCCTGCTTCTCTTCCTTCTCTCTCCCGTCAGCGGTGAGGAACGACCGGAACAAGAAGAAGAAGGATGAAAAGAAGCCAGAGTGTACTGAGAGCTATGTGCTGAGCACTGAGACGGAGCAGATGATCAACAGGGTCAGCAAGGCGCATAAGGAGACCTTCCCTTCGCTCTGCCAGCTGGGCAAATACACTACGGTGAGCACCACAATACTTAGAGACAGAGGTGTGTGTGTTTCTGTATGTAAAATCTTACAGACAAACCAGGACAGTGCATTCGCTCATCTGTTGTTGTTGGTATTTTAACTGAATGATTCTTCAAAGTGTTGTTTAAGTATAGCTTCAGAACCATGTTGATGCTGCTACCTGTGATTCTCATAACCAGAGTACATTCATTTGATTTATAGTGTCATTCATGTTGTCTGTGTGGAGCCTTGAATGCAGGGGCGCAACTTTGGTTTTAGAAGTGGGGGGCATTTAAAGCTCATTTCCTGCATTTCTACACAATCCAATATGACCCATGGCCCTTCTAGCCGTCTCTATTTATAACAACAAAAAGTAAATTAAAAATTTCCCCAGTCATCAAGCTAGGTAAGAGGTCATTGTTAAATATGTTTAAGTGATCAGACGGAACTAGATCAAAGCTAATTCAATTATCAATATTATTGCACCTTTAACCAATAGCTTAACAAATGAACAAATCTTTTAAAATAATTAAGTACATAGACTTTTGAATGTCAAATTTCAGCCAGACCGCCCAGCCAACCCCAACCAGTCTAGTCAATAACTCAACTCTTCCAACACAATTTTTTTACTTTATTTATTTTTTATTCCCAAGAGAAAGGTTTGAAAATAAAGTTTTACAAACATTTTAAAATAAACGCACACCTACACATATACATATTTTATTTCAGCTCATGAAACATGGGACCAACACTTTACATATTGCATTTATATTTCTGTTCAGTATAGTTTCAATCTTTTGAAGCATCTGGCTTGTCCAGTGTTTGCTGCACAGAGAGAAATAAAGTGTTGTGTCTGCAAAAATTCACCTCAGCTCCATCACAAACTGGTCTTCCCTGGCTGCCTGACCCTGCTGAGGCATGACAAATAATGACCTTGGTGTACATTTATTTATACATTTTATTCTATTATTGGATAATATAATGGTTCAATAATTGAAATGAACATTATTCCCAGATCCCAGACTGTAGCTTTAAGCTTAAGCTGCTGTCCTTGAGCTACTGTAAGTTTACCTATCAATTAAAGATGGAACTTTGTATCATTCACTGATATTGTTAATATACTGCAAAATTCACCTGAGCTCCGTAGACTGGTCTTCCCTGGCTGTCTGACCCTGCTGGGACACCTGTCACCATCTGATCCTGCTATGAAATGATGATCATAGTGTTGTGTACTGACGGTGCACCATGACCGTGAAGCCTGTAGAGCTGTTTATTACTGTCAGTGTGAAACGTAGGGAATTAGCTAGGGAAATTGACAAATCAATAAGATTACATTGCTATACTGACTCTAATAAAAACTCACATTGCACAAAATAAAGTAAATTATCGGTCTTCAATCGTTTGGCCGCTGGTTTCATCTCTCGATTCAGGTCTAGTGTGAATGAGGCAAAATAATACCTACTTTTGGCCAGCTCTCTCACTCTCTTTGTACATCAACTGGCGAAAGCAAGCTAAGTTAATTTACTTCTGTTGAATCGGGACAAAAATGCTACAAAACATTTCCATATAAACAACAACTGTTAGATAGCGATATGAGGTGGCTATTATTACTATCTGATACCGATAGCTACAGGCTAGACTAGAGCTAAACTGGCTGTGGTAGCTACTAGCTAGCTAATTCATTCACCTCAGTCAAGAGTGGATGAAAAATGTGCTAACGTTACATGTCAGTTACACGACTAGCTCAGCACTGGGGGGGTACTTGACTCAATTCAGACAGAAATGCAATTTCAGAATGTGGGGTGGTCATGACCCCCCCAGTGAAAGTTGTGCCCCTGCTTGAATGTAACACCATTTTCATCCAATAAAGACTTGTTGTCTCTCTCTCATTCACAGAGTAACAGCTCGGAGCGGCGTGTGGCTTTGGACGTGAACCTGTGGGACAAATTCAGTGAGCTGTCCACCAAGTGTATCATCAAGACGGTGGAGTTTGCCAAGCAGCTGCCCGGCTTCACCACGCTCACCATCGCTGACCAGATCACCCTGCTCAAGGCCGCCTGTCTGGACATACTGGTAAGGATCGCTTTTGGTTAGCTCTACTAATGGTGGTCTGGAACAAATGCCTACACACCCTCTCGGATCGCTCTTCATGATCAGAGTTGGTCGCTCACCAACCTTGGTCCTGGTCCATCTGAGAGGGAGTACAGGTGTTTGTTCCAGCACTAAAACACCATATCACCAACGAATCACCTTGTCAGTAGGAACTTGATTAGTTGAAACGGATGTATGAGTGCTGGGGTGGTGTAAAAATCTGTACACCATCTCGTTTTTTCAGGCCCAGGATTAGTGAGTGGTGACCACTGTTATTAAATAAGATCTGTTCATAGGATTGTTGAAGTTACTACAGCTACTTATCGATTCATACCCCGTGCTATTGCATGATTGGCCTATGCATTTTATTTTTGGCATGCTCAACCAATCCTGCACTCTGCTCCCTCAGATTCTGCGGATCTGCACGCGCTACACGCCGGAGCAGGACACCATGACGTTCTCGGACGGCCTGACGCTAAACCGGACCCAGATGCACAATGCCGGCTTCGGACCACTCACCGACCTGGTGTTCGCCTTCGCCAACCAGCTCCTCCCCCTGGAGATGGACGACGCCGAAACGGGGCTGCTCAGCGCCATCTGTCTGCTGTGTGGAGGTACTGCGGCTGTTTGGATTTAACCAATACTATTGCATATACACACACACCCATACACACTCAGTGATTGAAGCTGATAATGACATTGTGCCCAAGTAGGGTAGGGGTTAATCTGCCTCATCTTCATGTGGCTGTGAAGGTGTCGCTGTCTAAAACAAATAGGATTGGTCACATCACTTCTCATTATAGGCAATTGTCACTGTACCGTATTCCAGCATTCACATATTGGACAGGCTCAAAATTATACTGAACAAAAATATAAACGCAACATGTAAACGGTTGGTCCCATGTTTCATGAGCTGAAATAAAAGGTCCCCGAAATTTTCCATACACACAAAAAGCTTATTTATCTAACATTTTGTGCACACATTTGTTTATATCCCTGTTAGTGAGCATTTCTCCTTTGCCAAGATAATCAATCCACCTGATAGGTGTGGCATATCAAGAAGCTGATTAAACAGCATGGTCATTACACAGGTGCACCTTGTGCTGGGGACAATAAAAGGCCACTCTAAAATGTGCAGTTTTGTCACACAACAAAATGCCACAGATGTCTCAAGTTTTGAGGGAGCGTGCAATTGGCATGCTGACTGCAGGAATGTCTACCATAGCTGTTGCCAGAGAATTGAATGTTCATTTCTCTACCATAAGCCGCCTCCAATGTCGTTTTAGAGAATTTGGCCAGTACATCCAACTGGCCTCACAACCGCAGACCACGTTATGGCGTTGTGTGGGCGAGCGGTGTGCTGATGTCAACGTTGCGAACAGAGGTGTGCCCTATGGTGCCGGTGGGATTATGGTATGGGCAGGCATAAACTACGGACAACAAGCACAATTGTATTTTATCGATGGCAATTTGAATTAACAGAAATACCGTGACAAGATCCTGAGGCCCATTTTTTAAAGGTATATGTGACCAACAGATGCATATCGGTATTCCCAATCATGTGAAATCGATAGATGAGGGCAAATTAATTTTTCAATTGACTGATTTCCTCATATGAACTATAACTCAGTAAAATCTTTGAAATTTTTGCATGTTGCGTTTATGTTTTTGTTCAGGATAGAAACGTAGACTAGTGCTGTCTTGAGCACCATCTAGTGGTTAATAGTAAACATATAACAATCTGTACTTAGAAATTCTCATTGACCTACCTGGAGAAAGTTCAGGAGGGTGCACACTCACTGCAGCGTTAAAGAACATTCAGATAATGTAGCTAATGTAGTAATATAGTGCAAATATGATGGCTTGCCATGTAGAATACAGTTTTAGCGTGAGTTCTATTTATTACATTTCACCTCACTGAACACACCCCTGTATTGTGTTTGTGGCTATGTGTAGATCGGCAGGACCTGGAGCAGGCAGACAAGGTGGACGTACTACAGGAGCCCCTACTGGAGGCTCTGAAGATCTACGTGAGGAAGAGGAGGCCTCACAAACCACACATGTTTCCCAAGATGCTGATGAAGATCACCGACCTGAGGAGCATCAGCGCCAAAGGTGAGAGGCAGTCAGAGACATCCATCTACACCATTGACCATTTCTTACTTGTTCAAAGGTTGTCTGAAATAGGGCTAAATCAGGCATCTTGCAATTGGTTCAATAACTGTCGGTAACGGACAGGACACAATGTGTGCTTACTACCAGTATCAAATGTAGTTTCCTCAATATTACGAAAGGTGTGCCGCAGGGGTTGATTTTGGGCCCTGTTCTCGTCACTGTTTATATCAATAATATTGGTGTATCTGTTAAAACCTGTAACATTCATCTCTACGTGGATGGTACAGTTATTACTGTTATTTAGTCCTGTGCCCCCTCAGTACAGCAGGCCATTCATGACCTTCAACATGGTTTGACTCAATTCAAAAAGACCAAGATCTTGAAACTAGTGCTAAATGCTAATAAAACCAAATTGATGTTGTTATCTTGGTCTTTGCATATTTGCATGTTCCCCATTATAAGTACTTGGGTATTTGGATTGTTGATAAACTCTTTTAAAACAAACATGGAAAAACTGACCAAAAAGCTGAGAATTAAGATTGGTTTCTTTTATAGAATTAAATCCTGCTTCACTTTGAAAAGTAGAAGGAAGATTGTTCAATCAACGCTTCTTATGGTGATATAATCTACATGCATTCGGCAGCCTCTGTTTTTTAAAAACCTTTAGACTCAGTATATCACTCAGCACTGCGTTTTATCACTGGGGACAATTTTCGTTCACATCACTGCATTTTGTATAGTTCTGTTGGCTGGGAGCCTCTGACTACCAGAAGGGCCCAGCATTGGCTACTTTCTGTATATAAAGGATTTAATCCAGGCTCTTTCGCAGCCGGCCGTGACCGGGAGACTCATGGGCGGCGCACAATTTGCCCAGCGTCGTCCAGGGTAGGGGAGGGAATGGCCGGCAGGGATGTAGCTCAGTTGATAGAGCATGGCGTTTGCGACGCCAGGGTTGTGGGTTCGATTCCCACGGGGGGGCCAGTATGAAAAATAAAAAAATTATGTATGCACTCACTAACTGTAAATCGCTCTGGATAAGAGCGTCTGCTAAATGACTAAAATGTAAAATGGTTCTTCAGAGACTCCCCCCCCCCCCCCCCCCTTACTCAGCTCAAGTATTAATTAGAGATCCAGAAAATTCAGACCCGCTCTCTGGACTGGCTGGTTCTGGTGGTACCGCGGATCTCCACTGAGCTGGGGGAAAATGCTTTTATCCCCAGCTCGTGGAATAGCCTTCAGGCCACATTGAAGCTGGACTCGCTGGTCTCAATTGGACAGTTTAGATCAATTTTGAGGAAGATAAGGTGATAGTTGTTTGTTGTGATTAATCTTGTTGTATTTATTGTATTGATGTTGCTATTTTGCTTTATGTTGTATTGAATTATGTGTTCATGTTCACAGGGCGCCCTTGAGAATGAGACCCTGGTCTCAATGGTGACTCCACTGTTTAAAAGATTTACAAAATACACAAATAAAATACACACAGTTGTGGATTAGCCATATACAGTACTTCTGTTTCAATAAGCCTTATATTATAATTGTCTACTATATATAGTAGTTAAAGCTGCAATATTAAGCTTTTTGGGCGACCCCGACCAAATTAACATAGAAATGGGATTTATAGATTTGTCATTCTTATTGAAAGAAGTCTAAGAAGCATAGATCTGTTCTATATGCGCTATTTATATGCTTCCCGTTCTTAAGTTTCGTTTTTGCGTCTTTTACTTTTGGTTTTGTAAACCAGCTTCAAACAGCTGAAAAGACAATATTTTTGGTAATGGAAAATATATTTCACAATGGTTTAGATGGTACAATGATTCTCTTGCTTGTTTTGTCACAAACTGAAATTAGGCAAACTATTCTAATTTTAGTAACCAGGAAATGGCGGAACAATTTCTGCATAGTGCACCTTTAAGGTACTTACTTTGCAACATCCATAAAGGTTTAAACTCAATTGTAAAGGTCTACATTTTCTATTCTGTCAACTGCAATTGTAATGTAGGTCCAAGTCAAATGTGACTCATTCATATAAAGGGGTTGAATGTCCACAACTGAGGACAGTCTAACACCATATCTTGGTCCTCCCCTCCTCAGGAGCCGAGCGTGTCATCACCCTGAAGATGGAGATCCCGGGCTCCATGCCCCCTCTCATCCAGGAGATGCTGGAGAACTCTGAGGGTCTGGAGAGCGGGGCCACAGGCTCCCGGACCAGTGGGGCCCCCCCAGGCAGCTGCAGCCCCAGCCTGTCCCCAAGTTCCGCCCAAAGCAGCCCCAGCCCCACCACGCAGTCACCGTAGCAAGCCGCCCTCTTTCTCTCATCCCCCTCTCTCTCCCTGTGGTTGGGGGGTCCTGGATGGACACAGAGACTGGCGTGTTCTTGAGTGTTCCTCCCCATGTGCGACACACCCTCTCCTGCTCCACCCCCTCAAAGACACTGTCTAGAAAATGGCGGAAGGGCGGCGGCGGGATTTCTCAGTTTTCTGGAACACTGCTGATATCTCCTCCGTCCCTCACCTCACCCTTCTCTCTCTCTGTCTCCACCTGAAAGACTGAGGGAAGGAACTGAAAGGATCACTCAGAGGGGCTGGCGGGAAAGGGGGCGACGGACAGACAAACGGACAGGAGAAGCGGACAAAACTAACACCAGACACTTCTCGTTTCTCCGAGGCGGACTGCAGGCATGGACTTGTCAAAGAAGACCACACATAAAAAGACTGGGTCGTTCTCCTTTTCCATCTTTGAAAAACAGATTTCGTACAAAATATATATAAATATATATAGAAAAGTAAGGAACTATTGTGATTTGACTTCTTCTTGATGGAATAATAGGTTGAGAAGGAAAACTACTTTTTTGTGTGTTTTAATTGTTTTATACCCATGAGGGTATCAAAAGAGAATTGTTCCATTGTTTTATCACATACTGATGTTTTAATTAACAAAAGTAAAGAAGTTGAAATTACTTTTTCAATTTAAAGACAGACACACACAAATGTGCACAGAAAAGAGTTGCGATAAATATCACAAACTATTCCAGGTTGGGTTTGCTTTTTCTCTCCTTTTTATTTTCTGCTGCAAAGAGAATGGGAAAAAATGATTGTATGAGCTTGGATGTATGATATGGTCACAGGTCCTTCAAGAAATCAAATGAATGAAGTTAAGGTGTATTTTAAGTAGCCTTTGAGTTCATGTATATAAGCTGTATTCATTTCTTTAAAAAAACAACAACAAAAAAAATGATTATCTTTTCTGTGTTTTGTTCATAGGTTTCTGTTTCAAGAAAAAATATTTTAAGCACATTTTCCTGAAGGAAACACATCTGTTAGTTTGTCCCCTTAAATGTGGGACAGGTCCATAGAAATCACTATGGTTCTTAAAAACAGCAGCCACAAATTTAGTTCTCTCACCCCTTAAATTACAAAAGATTTCCATGAATACAAAAAAAGAAAAAGAAAACCAAAGCACTCATATTGGGGCTTTTTGGTGATTGGTAGCTAAAGAAAGATGTGAAGTTGGAGGGTTGAGAGCCAGGTGCTGGGTTCGTCCAGCAAGGCACAGAGACGAGACACAGCATAGGTTCCCAAATGGATTACAGTGTGAAGGATGGAGTACAGTACACTGTATTTTCAAGACAAGTGATTCCTATAAGAATCTCAACAATGATATGTGGGCGAGGGGAACTTCAGTGATCTAGTGTTCCCTCTTGATGGTGAAGAAAGTTGGCCTTGTTGACTATGCTCTCACAACTACACCAACAACCTGGGTCGTATTCATTAGGCATTAAAAAGTCAAAATAAGTGATTGACAGAGGGAGAGTCTACCCCGCTTGTAAAACGTTTTACTACAGTGTGCACTAATGAATATGACCCCGTTTTGGGAAACGGGACCTTTGACCTTTGCCTCAGAACAATACCACTTGTGATTCTTCATAGAAGCCCCAACATCACCACTGAGGCTAGTTTTTGATTCTCACACGCAGCTCGCTCAAACATGCATCACTGTACACAAACACACACCGATGTCTCAGGAAGGAATCATTCTGTATGCTTTGCTTGTTCTTTGTAAGAGTTTCCACTGTGCTGCACCCCACCGCCTATCACACACACATGGACACACATGCGCATGCTACTGAGCCTTTGAATTCTACAACTCTACAATCACTCATCTCTGCTAGGCCAGTACTTTGCAGAGAGACTGGTCCGAACAACGAGAGCTTTGAAGAGGATGTCAATATGGATTCTGTTGGAATCATAAATGTGTGAATTTTTTTATTTTCTTTATTTGTATGGTCAAAGCTGCTTTTTTCCTCAATTAGGACTATACCTGTCCACAACAGCGCACAAGCCTCTCTCCCCAGCAAATCTGGAATAGCAACACACACCCCTCGATTTGAGAAGTATAGAATATGTAGCCATTTTTTCTAGATTTATCAGGCGACTTAAAATAAAAACTAAAAACAAATTGAATAATTGCAGTGATTGTTTGTGTGTGCCTGTATCAGTGTTTGATTACACATACATTTGCGTTAATACATCAAGATGTGTACCAAAATACTTTTTTTTATAGTCTTAGCTCAATTGGTAGAGCATGGCGCTTGTAATGCCAGGGTAGTGGGTTCGATCCCCGGGACCACCCATACCTAAAAATGTATGCACGCATGACTAAGTCGCTTTGGATAAAAGCGTCTGCTAAATAGCATATTATTGTTATATTATTATTATACTGCCATCTAGAGGAGTCTTCTGCACCTGAGCCTTGTACTTTGAGAAGCATTACTTGGCGTGTAAAGAAATGTCTGATAGATGAGTAGGCCTCTTCTGATAGAAGAAATACAGTGATAGCAGCAACGGCTACCATTTATTGACAATCATAATGTAAGTACGCAAGAATAAATGGGTTCCATGGTATGGTATATGTGCCGTTGCAGACTGCAGTACAATACAAGGACAACCATACAAACGTTAGGCCCTCAAACACCAATGAAGGCTACTGAGTTCTACTGGTAGCAAGCAGGCCATTGAGAGCAGTTATTTGTCTTGCACAAGACAGTTCACAGAATTGTCGATTTTAAAGAAATGTAGCCAATTTATTAATTACTACATTTAACTAACATTAGATAGTTAATCCAGAGAGTCTTACCTTTGCCTCGATTCGGCAGTCTCGTCCAGATCATCATGGCATTTGTAGTTCTTTAGATAGCCACATTTGCAGCTAATTAGCATTTCATTTTAGGGTGGTAAATACAGACCAATATATTGATAAAAGTCACCTTGTCCTAGAGAGATTTACACAGTTATCAAAAACTTCACGCCAGGGTAAGCCTACACTTCTTCTTCAATGAGGTTTACACTACACTCACTTTTTTTTATTTTTTATAAATAAATAAAACACCACCCTACTCTTATTTAAATTATTTAAATCTATTTAGTCCTACTTCAGGCCACCAGCCTGAAAGGATGGGACACCACCACTTAACACACCCTGTAACTCTTCTGGTGTCAAGTCTCGCACACCCAAATACCTCTCTGCAGCTGCAACTACAACCTCAATTTTCTGCGACTTACGCTCCATCCCTGCAGTACAGTTGATAACCATTGCTATAAAAGCTAAAAATCCAATCTTACTGAAACATATATCACTTGTTGGCCTATCCATCTGTACTGGTACACACACCCGTCGCTATGGGCGGGCCATAGGGGGCCGGGCCCGCCCCCAAAAATGCTTGTGCCCCCCCCCCCCCCACTTGAGGGAATGTATTATTAAATATACGTACTGTAGGCTAATAATAATTGTGCCCTGCCCTCCCATGCATTTCATATGCTCCCCTTAAGACTGAGGTCTGGCGACGGGTCTGCTGGTACATATCTACTACTCACACAACTCCTCTCAGAATCCCTCCCCCTTGACCCATCTTCCTCTACTTTCTTCATTGCCTCAGCATATTGTGCACTACTCTAACCCTGGAAATCTCAACCTGCCTCGCTCGCACCAGACATTTCTGATCCCCAGCCCCATGGGCACCCCTACAATTAACACATACCACTACTTTCCCCAATGCTACACATTCATTTGTCTCATGACCTTCTGCAGACTTCTCACAACTAGGAACCTCCCTCCTACACACTGCTGCCACATGCCCATAAGCCTGACACAAAAGCTTGTACAGGGTAACTTATATATCCTAAGATCACTTTGGTGGGCGAAGATCAAAACTCAAAAGAACAGACAACGACTCTACTGTTTCACCACTCACGCCACCCTTTCTGCGTCACACCAAACGTCGAGCATCACAAACACCGGGAATCTTCACCTTCAGTTGGTCAACTTTCACATTTACCGCTACCCCAGTAATCACTCCTTTCAATGGCGCCCTTTTCTTCAGAGCAAAACAATTCACATCTCTTGCCCCCATTCGTTTAACGCTGAGCGCCTGTACCCTCTGACCAGAGCAGAAACACAAACAATTATCACAAGACCACTTCTGGTTACCCTCACTGATTCCACAGCACCCAACTCTGTTTTCACCCACCCTGAAACCACAAATGGATCAGCCAAAAGGCAAGGGTCCACTTTTTCCAAAAACTTCACTCCTACTGTCACAGACTTATCTTTATCCTGACCCTCGGTGCAAGCCTCAGGCTCCGAGAACTTCACCACACCTACCACCTCTGATAATTCACCCTCATTCAGCTCAATCTGCCTACACTTTCTACCATTCTTCTTTAACAAACCATCTCCCTTTTCCCCACCATTTTTAACCGACTTAAGCTCACCCTCCCTCACTCTCTCTCAGACCTCCTCTGCCTCTATTTTTCCCTCCATTCCTCCTCCATATTCCAAGTATACGTCTCCTTATGATAATACTGCACTTCTCCTGACATACATCTTGTTCTTGCCTTCTCAAGGGACGCCATTTAACCGGCTGTCACAATCTCAGTACAATCAGCACGAACCCCTCGGGATGTAACGCTCAACAGTGCATCCCACCGCATCTGGTAAGCCTACACGAAACACAGCCCTTATTTTAAGTGTTTCTAAAATGCCCTATGGGAAAAATGTATGGTGGGAAAACTATTGAAACCATTTCCCTGTTTGACCGCTAGGTATTATGACTCATACTGTGGTACTCTATTGAGTTGTGTGACAAAACTGCACATTTTAGTGGCTTTTATTGTCCCCAGCACAAGTTGCATCTGTGTAATGATCGTGCTGTTTAATCAGCTTCTTGATATACCACACATGTCAGAGCGAGCCTCTCTCTTTGGTGTGAGTGAAGTGAGTTCGGAACAATTGAATGTATGCGTCTTAGAAGTAGTTTTCACATACAAACTTTAGTTGTGTCCGAACTCTGAATCAAATATGCTTCCCAAAAATAACATGGTCGCTGTGGTAGAACGTTTATTTTGATTGGCGATGTTCTGCATTTATCAGAGTGCCATCAGGTAGCCTGATTTCAGACGTGTCCATGTAAATATAATTATTTGGGAAATCGTTCTAATTGCAAAGCATGTAAACGTTTTATAATCGAACTTTTTTTAAATCTGACTCTCCACTATAATCGCATTATTGTATTTCTCCAGGAAATTTATTTTCAAGTTAACGTTACCTTACTCACAAATTAATTTGTTTGGTATTTTGATTAGTTCACATTGAGCATTCAGTTACAAGGAACGAAAAGACTAAACGTACCTTTTTGTTTTGGGGAATTTTTTTACTTTTAACATAAAATCACTTGTTTGTCAGCAGTGTACACATTTAACTACATTGTATCACAGATAACTGTATAATTTCTTACAACATCATTCAACAAATCCGCTCTGCCTCCTCACCACTGTGGGTGAACCTTTAGAAGGATTTCAGCCAATGGACACACTTCGCGCGGAATTTCAAACGTTTTCAAATGTCTATCTGTTAAGGCGAAGAAGTGCTCCGCCGGGCTTGTAAACAAAATAGTCCTTCATATTTTAAAACACATTTGACACTTAAATGTGTAAAACGGGGTATATGTTTTACAAAATATAATATCCAATATATTTTATGACCTACCAAGTCCACCGCACAACTATGTGTTTTAAGTAGATTGAGTTGGGCGGAAGGATTTAATGTACACTGAAGTACGCTTGCACAGTTTTGCCAAGACCAATAAGGAACGGTCCACATCTACACATTAGCTAAAGCTAGGTAGGGCAAGATAACGACAAACTATTTTAGGAAGGTAATGCGAGCCTTTTAATAAGGCTGATGATTTTATCAATCATTGTTATAGTTTAATAAAGGGTAAAGTATTATCCTGTAGTTTATGGACGACCAGCTGTTTTGAAGAATATTTGAACTGCCTCAGGTAACGTTAACATAAAATAAAGTATCCTTGCTTGCTAATTTAGCTAGCTTACGCCAGCCAAAAGTTTACGACAAGGTTGAAATACCCATTCTAAATTGGTTTGTAGTTGGCTAAATATGCTTATTCTGTTAACCTTATCGATAATTCGTTGACATTGAAGCGCGTGGGTAGTTAGCTAGTTAACTTGTTGGCTAGATACTACTAGCTAGGTTAGCGCGGTGCCATGCGTGTTGAATACATGTTGGTGGGCGATTAAATTTTAAACCCAAATGTAATTACTACCAAGGCAAGAGACGCTAACGTTACAATCGTCAAACGTATCATTGCTTGGCAGTTGTAACCAGTTGGCACACAGATTATTGGTCAAATTGTTGTCTTTTTGTTACAAATCAGATCAATGTGGGTAACTACAATCATTGTTGAATCAGTCACATTTGACACGATTGCTCAATGTCTTAACGTTTATTTCTTTGTATTTAGGTAACGTTGAATTAAAAATGCCCCTGCACGGGAAAATTGTTGTTATCAAAAGGAGTGGAGGAGATGGGACTGAGTTTCCTCTGACTGCATCATGCTTATTTGGAAGGTAAGAAAAATCCTTTAAAATCTGTCAATGCGTGCAATGCTGTAGTACTGTGTCAAAATTTAATATATTCTCGGTTTTTATAGGTACTGTTAAATGTATGAAAGACAACTTTTGCGGCATGTATGGAACGTGTTTTTTACTCGGTGGTTCAATGTTGCAGTCTAGCCATTTTAAATTTGTTTTAGGCGGGCTTTCTGCTGCTTACTTCGGTCGTTGAGCTTTGTTCACTATTACAGCGTTTCATAACGTTTCAAAAGACATGTCACCGCACACACCCTAGAGATCTATTCAACTTTATCCACTGAAAATCAACAATGGATTGGATTAAACCCACTCATGTTGATAAATTGTCACGCATTTACTCAACTGGACTGTTCCTGTATGTGCTGTGTGAACCCCAGGAAGTGTAGTTGTTGGTAGAGTTTATGGTAGTGTCCACCTATGGGTGAAACCGTGCTTTGGTGATAATTTCACTTCCTTATGTTATAAAATACATTTTTATCAAGAAATGACTATTCATGTTCTAAATCTTTCAATGGGGTCTTTCTCTAACATATCATTAACATTATATCAAAAAAGTCGGATTTGGTAACCTAATGTATCCGATAATAAGCACCGAGCTCTGACATAGCGGTGCAGGTTTCTCATAACTTGAGGGTTTTGTGTTCGTCTTCGGGTTGCAAAATTAGCACGACTTGAGCTGAATTAAATGTATAAGGCTTTGAAAATAAGAAGTTTGGTATACGCTCAGTTGACATTTCAGACATTGTTTTATTGAGATAAAAATCGTTTTTTTTTTTTTTTTTTCGAAAAGCGTATAGTAAAATATGAATATATTACATGTCATGTCTCAAAATAGATATCTATCTTAGCTCTAAATAGTTATGTCCTCCAGATTCGAGAAGAAAGTGAGCCTGTCAGGTAGCCTTAATTCTTGCACAAAATCCAGCCTAGCTGATGCAATGCCATTTTTTTGTTTATTTTTTATGTATCACTTTTTCTCTGGCCTCCATTTATTTAGTAACCCTAATTTTGGCCAATCTACAAGGGTAAAAACTCCCATAACTTTTGAAAGGATTATGATAGACATGAGGTTTGGACCATAGTTTTTCTCAGGATGATCTACACAATTAACATTGTTTTACCCATTGGGCAAAATAGGCTTTTTTGATTGGACACCCTACTTCTGGTGTTATGAAATATAATTGACATGCCTTCAACACTAAACATTTTCTATTGACAGAACCAAATATTTGTTTATGTATAAAAAAATATAAAAATGTACACAACCTTTTTACAGAATATTATGGTATTTTTGTCTCTTAGGAAACCTGACTGCGACATTCGCATTCAACTTCCCCAAGTCTCCAAGGAGCATTGCAGGATTGAGTTGAATGAAAATAAAGAGGTAACTACAGTCAGTCAATATCATTGCTGCCTTCAGTCAGTCAGTTTTTTATTTTACTGTCTGTAGAGCAAGTATTGAAAGACTGTTTTTTTTTCTTACAGGTTATTTTAACCAATTTGAGTTCAGTGAACCCGACCCGTGTCAATGGGGAGGTTTTTCAGCAGTCTGAATGTTTGAAACATGGAGATCTAATCACAATTATTGACCGTTCTTTCAGGTTTGTGCATCTTATGTCAGTTTATAACATAGTCAGAGAAATATAATTTTGATGTGTTTAATCTGCTTACTGTCTGTTTAAAATTTGATGGACATCATGTCATAGTTGGACAAGTATTTGGCATTTTATACATACACTTGGATAGACAATATGATAATGGCTCTTTGTTTTTTTACATTTCATTTTTTATTTTTCAGGTTTGAATACCCTCCTGCACCCACTCCAAAGAAAAATAGATCTTCTACTGCTAGCAAAAGTGAAACTCCTCAGGTATTATGCATGTTATACACTAAAGTAAAAGCCTGAAGCATATTTGGTAATAAAGCATTACTTACTATTTATATGCACCGTTGAGGAAATCTACTGCATGAATCTCCCTAGAAAGTCTGTGCTCAAGCTGTCTCTGTTTGTCACAGGTTTTACATGAAACCCAAGCGAGGGATACCAGCGCTAAAGATGGAACCAACACTTCTGATGTCAAACCCAAGGAGGATGGAAGTCTTGAACAGAACAAGCCGAGCTCCCCCTTCTGTGAGCTGTACCAAATGTTCAAACAAGATCTGGATTCCAAGACTCCAAAGAAAGCACCTGGAACACCTGCTTCAAGGCTTTGCCCACAGAACCCTATCTCAACCAAGAAAGTGGATGGGGCGTCTGTCATTTCCACACCCAAGAAGGCGGAAACTGAAAATGTGTCACCTATCACTGGAGTGACTCCAAAATCAGCTCAGAAGAAGCGAAAGTCCCTCAAAGGTTTGGTTGTTGAGGGGAATGTGCCAGTTGAAGATTTCATCCAACTGCCTCAATCTATTCAAGAAACTCCCAAAGGTAAAAGGCGTTCTTCAAAGTCCAAAACACCCACTACGGTTGAAGAAAAATCCACCCCTGTTTCTCAGAGGAAAAGTCGCCCGGCAACCCCCGAGAAATTCACTGCTCGTGAAGTGGTTGAGCATATTTCTGAGTGTCCGACTGCAGAAACCCATAAGACCCCCACTAGAAGGAGGAGCAAAGAAGCCACTCCTATCAAATCTTTGGTAACTGGGGTAGAACCACCTGCTGATGCTGTCATCTCAAACCAAGACCAGACCGTACTAACTGAGAATTCCACGCCAAGTACTCCTAAGACAGAGTTCTCCCGCTCTCCAAGGTCTGCTGGGAAAAAGCTTCAAGCTCATGATGTGCTTTGTGAGCTGGAGGCGACCACACCCACCAATGGTGAGAAAACAATGCAAGGTTATTTCCCAATGGCGGTCACATTCTTTACGCATACATTTAATGAGTTCAATAATTATTAGCCTACTTTGTTTTAGTTTCAATGTCAATTCTTTGATTATTACATACTGTACGATTATTATGTTTAACCTAATGCCTGTATATACGTATGAACAAAGTTATCGATCACGTGACACCATTCATTCCTATGTGAACACTCAATAGTGTATTGAAGTCTGTTAAGATGGCTCTCATGGAGGCAACATGTGCAGTTTGAGCTACTCCAGGAAGTGACTTTGCAGGCTAGCTCAGTGCTGCCTCCTCTCAATGAGTAACTTGAGTTCAAGGCCGACCAGAGTACTGCAGGCCGCCATTAGCGACTAACTTCTTCTGTGTGATTTTTTTAATAATTGGTTCAAGAACACATCTGGTGTATTGGACGCAATTATTGGTACCATGATTGTCTTCAAAACATTTTATTTACACAAAGATTGCGATTTTTCAATTCACTATAATAGGGGATACTGTTTTCTGCTAACAATGCCTGAAGTACTGCGGTTCGCCATGAACTTCTGTGGCTTCAATGAGAAGGGCAGTCGTTCTCCCTTGGTTTAACCTAAGGGGTGCATGCCCTCTTGTGATTGAATGTGTTTGACCAGTATAATAAAACATTTTTCATTTCCATCTTCAGTTAAACAGTCGTCTGCTAAGAAACGGAAGAGTGGAGAACTTGAAACTGAATTTCCAACACCGCTGTGCAAGAGGAAAAGGGTTTCATTCGGAGGTCATTTGGAGCCGGAACTGTTCGATAAACGTCTTCCTCCTGACTCCCCACTATGCAAAGGAGCCACTCCTGGACGGCGAAGCCTGTGTGTCCCCAAAACGAAACAGTCACTCCTCAGGAGAGCGTCTGCAATTGGTCTGATAAAGGTACGTTCAATAATATACTGTAGGTTGTGTGCTGACTTTGCTCCTCATTTCACATATATTGATGATGAACTGATTCTGACTCAATTTTTTTCATTTCATAGGAGCATGAACAATCTGCCCCAGAGAGTCTTAAAGTGAAAGGAAGTCCAGGAAAGAACGCATCTCCCAAGACTCCCTCGCCTGCCAAGAAGTCACCGAAGGCAACTCCCAAGACTCCCTCACCTGCCAAGAAGTCACCGAAGGCAACTCCCAAGACTCCCTCACCTGCCAAGAAGACACCGAAGGCAACTCCCAAGACTCCCTCACCTGCCAAGAAGACACCGAAGGCAACTCCCAAGACTCCCTCACCTGCCAAGAAGTCACCGAAGGCAACTCCCAAGACTCCCTCACCTGCCAAGAAGACGCCGAAAGCTAAAACTCCATCTCCAGGTAAAGAGAAGACCCCGAAAACCGCTGTGAAGACTCCATCTCCTGCTCGAAGAAAGTCTCCATTAAAAGATGGATCTCAAACACCCAAGGCTGGAAAAACTCAGAAGACCCCTGCAAGTTTGCCTTCAGCCAATACAACACCCACCGTGCAAGGCCGGTTCTCAGTGTCCCTCATCAGCACCCCATCACCCACCACAGACCAGGACTCTGTCCTACAGACGTCTGTCACTGTAACGCCTCGTGTTCCCTTGAGGCGAACAAGCATGAAGTCTACCTCGAAGACAATACAGAACAGCGCAATAACGAATGCCCTGCAAGTCATCCGTAGAAGAAGTGGTGTTTCTCGGGCATCAATGAAAGGTATGCATCTATTTACTTTATTTTCTCTTTGGGATTCAATAACTTTTTGTTGATTGGGTATTGATTTTATTTTGATTGCAATCTAAGTGTTTAATTTCCATTGTTTCGAGTTGTGAATTCCTGGGCTGACATTGTGAAGTTTGGCCAGACCAAGGCCCAAGCTGTTATCCCAACCAAGAGAACTTCCACCCGAGTGACTAAGACGAAGACTGTTGTACCAAAACCCAAGGTATGCTTCGATAGTATTTTGCCCTCCATGACTGCACTTCATGAAATTTGTCTAGTGTAGCAAATATGAAGCTTGTTGTTAAGTTGACTTCAATGGTTTTGTCTTGATTTAGTTTTTCTACATTACCTAACCTGTTGATGTTAATTATGTTACAGACGCCTACGAGGAAACTCATAGGACATGTCAGCACTGGTCATGCAGATTCACCTGTGACCATTGTTGTGGGCAAAGCTCACAGGCTGAAAGCCATTCAGCCAAGTGGGGCTGCCCCAAAGCTTGTCCACAACATTGCACTGCTAAGAAATAACATGAGAATGGATGAGGATTTGTCAGGTAATTAGTCAAATTTCCTAATCCCACTACTCTATGTGCATATGTTTTTCATATGGGGTGTGTTGGTAAATTCACTCTAGTGTCAGTGCGCACTGGGACGTTCGTAAATTCACAGAGTTGTTAAGATTGTCCGTTCCTAAATTCAGAGCATTTCTCTCTGGAAGTGCACTCTGGCCGAGGAGTAGGGTTGATCCGAGCGTTCTGACCTCACAACGGCAGTCAAGCACCCAAGCTAACTGGCTAAAGTTAGCTAGCTACTTCCAGACACATGAGAGAACATCTCACTCTGAATATTTTACTCACCCTAGCAGAGCTGATCAGTGTTTTCATGTTATGAAGAGGGTTAGTGACTAACTCTGTTACTGGCAACAATTTAATTACTTTTTTAAGCTTATGTTTATGTAAACCTGTCTTAACAAATGAGTTTAGGGCCTTCGAAAATTCCTCATTTATTCTGCACTCTCAAACCAGGGTGCTCAGAATTCGGAGTAGATTGCCAGGGTGAATTTACGAACGCACCCATGGTATATAAAGGACTTGTTGCATTGTCATATTGTGCTCAAGTAAAGCAACTGGGTTTTGTTTGTGGTTTCAGGAGTTGCAGACATGTTCAAGACCCCTGCAAGGCAGAGTAAGTCTGTGGTCAATGTGCAGAGTGCCCTCAAGACCCCCCAGAGATCCCAGTCTACATCTATGATTGACTCATCACTGATGAATACCCCAGAAGAGACTAGTAAGTGATTTTGGGAGAATCTCAATTGCATACTCCTGTCCTCTCGCCTCTTCTCAAAATCCATTGGAGAAGGTCAGAGGGGCGGGACCTCTGGCTTTCTCATCTAATGGGTTTTTAGGAGGAGAAGGGATGCAAGGAGTATGCAATTGAGATCATGTCAAGATGAGTAGGAATTATGAAGAATCTGGTGTGAGGGATTTCTTTGAATTGTACACTGTGTATTAGATGTTTCATACATTGTTTTCATGCTCGTCAAACTATTCATTGACCACTCGTGCCCTGTGGATGGGGGCATTGTCATCCTATGGGGGAGTAGCCAAAATAATGACCTGCCCAGCATTTTTATACATGACCCTAAGCATGATGGGATGTTAATTGCTTAACTAACTCAGGAACCACACCTGTGTGGAAGCACCTGCTTTCAATATACTTTGTATCCCTTATTTACTCAAGCATTACTGTTATTTTGGCAGTTAACTGTATCAATCATGTTGAAATCAGTTGACACTAAATATACCCTATCTGTTTATTTTCTATCTTCGCAGGTGAAATGGTGGTGTCTCCACTTTTTGTTTCTACTGCTCAACGGGGAGCATACAACAGCGATGCAGTCACTAGACTCCTTCGAGATGATCAAGAATCCAGTTTCATCACTGCAAATGCCACTGAGGAAGCTGACTCACATACTGCACAAAATGAGATTCCTGACTTAGAGATGTCTTCCGAAGAATCGAAGGAAGAACAGCAGCCAGAATCGGAAAAAATGATTTTGACTCCCAAACAGAAGAAACCTGAACAACCCGAGTGTCTCACTGGAGTGAAGAGGATTATGAAGACCCCAAGACAGAAGGTGCAACCCATTGAAGACCTCAGAGGAAAACTGTTGAAAACTCCCAAACAGAAACTTGAGCAACCCGAATGTCTCACTGGCGTGAAGAGGATCATGAAGACCCCAAGACAGAAGGTTCAACCCATTGAAGACCTCAGAGGAAAACTGATGACAACTCCAAGAGGGCCTAAGGCTGCTCAGGAAGTAAGCTTAGATGGTATGAAGGAACTCCTGATGACCCCCAAACAAATCGCTGAACCTGTTGAAGAGATTTCTGGTAAAGCCCAAGATGATGACAATGTCCACAGCGAGACAAAAGAGGTAAAGGCAACACAGGGCTATTTCTGTGTAGTTTCAACTCATTTTTTGTAACACAGATGTTATTTGGTATAATGGTATATTTACATACCAAAATATGTAAGCATAACTTATTTGCCTGTAATGTTTATTTCATCTTATCCCATGGCTACTATAATAGGTTCTGAATATTTAAACTTTATCACATTTTTAATTACAAAGGTCTTATTTTGTTTCATTTTTTTTTTTTTAGATTCAAGGCGACTCTATTTCTCCTAAATGCCTCTCAGGTAACGTATATCTGCTTGCTTGCTAGCTAACATAAGCATTCACAATGCACAGTGACAATAACAGTTAGCTTTGCCCGTCAGTCCACATCAATGTTGGAATAGAAATTCTAAATTGGTGTTTGAAGCTCTGCTTATTCTGCTACCGGTAATTCGTTTACACTGAAGCGCGTGGTTACTTGGCTAGCTAGGTTGGTTAGCATGGTGGCATGCGTGTTCAATGCAGCAATGCATGTTGGTTGGCGATTTCAATTTTTAACTCATGTAACCTACGATTAGTTAACTATTATCAAGAGGCACTGCAATCATTAAATGTAATAATAATAATAATATGCCATTTAGCAGACGCTTTTATCCAAAGCAACTTACAGTCATGCGTGCATACATTTTTTTTGTGTATGGGTGGTCCCGGGGATCGAACCCACTACCTTGGCGTTACAAGCGCCGTGCTCTACCAGCTGAGCTACAGAGGACCACAAATGTATCCTTGCTAGGCAGTAGTAACCATTTTGCACACAGATAATAAATTGTTGCCGTTCTTTTACGAATCGGAAGAACTTGGCTGGCTAGCTAGCGCCAGTAGCTATAATGATTGAGTCAGACACATTTCACACGATTGCTCAATGTCTTTTAACATTTGTTTCTTTTTATTTAGGTAACGTTGAATTCAAAATGCCCTTGTACGGGAAAATTTTTGTAATCAAAAGGAGTGGAGGAGATGGGACTGAGTTTCCACTGACTGCATCATGCTTATTTGGAAGGTGAGAAAAAGCTTTTCAAATCTGTCAATATGTGCAATGTCATAGCAGTGAGTGCCGTTGTCTAAATTTAATATATTCATCGTTTTGTATAGATACTGTTAATTGTATCATCATCAACTTTTCCTGCACGAATGGAACATGGTTTTTACTTGGGGCTAGGCTTGGGCGAAACCCCAGTGTACGGTATATTTTGAAATACAGACAGTATGATTTTCAATACTGTAAAAAAAACGTTATCTAAGATGTCATATAATATTAATTATATCTAGCTCCAGCTATGCATTTGGTTTGCTAACTTGCTAGCCAACCAAGCTTCTTGGTTACAGCAGAGACATTCAGTCCCCTCCTGTGTAAAAAGTGTATTCTGTAACCAAGAAGCTTAATCTTGGCATCTAGCCACTTAGCTAGCAAGTTAGCAAACCAAATGCATAGCTTGAGCCCTGAGCTGGGTATCATTTATTTTACACGTCTTAGATTTCTTATAGTTATACTGAACTTCTAGTTGTAAGCAGTTGCAGTTGTATTCTTTTGTTGAAATGGCGCCCCCTGTGCCCATATTCGGCAATACCGTATACCCCGGTGTGATATAGAAATGGTATGAATGTCTGGATACTGCCCAACCCTACTTGGGTCCATTTTTTTATTTGTAAAGAGGCGGGCTTTCTACTGCTGTCTTCGGTTGTTAAGCTTTGTTCACTATTGCAGCGTTTCATAACGTTTCAATAGACATGTCACCACAGACCCTAGAGATCCATTCAGCCTTATCCACTGAAAATGAATTATGGATTGGATTTAGCCAGCTCTTGTTGATAAATTGTCAGGCATTTAGCATTTACTCAACTGAACTTTTGTTTCCATATGTGTGCTGTTTGAACCCCAGGAAGTGTAGCTGTTGCTTTAGTAACAGCTTATGGGGATAAAGATAAAATGAAATAAAATGTAAATGCCTTAAACAGTAAAACATAATAATGACAGAATCCTATATTTGCATAGCTGCTGACAGGTATACAAAAATGTTGACAACCTTTTTACAGAATATTTATTATGTTCTTATTGTCTCTTAGGAAACCTGACTGCGACATTTGCATTAAACTTCCCCAAGTATCCAAGGAGCATTGCAGGATTGAGTTGAATGAAAATAACGAGGTAATTGCAGAGTCAGACAATATAATTGCTGCCTTCAATAAGTCAGTCACTTTAATTTTAGTCTCTGTAGAGCAAATGTTGAAATGCCATTATTTTTTTCTCTTACAGGTTATTTTAACCAATTTGAGTTCCGCGAACCCGACCTGTGTCAATGGGGAGGTTTTGCATCAGTCTGAACGTTTGAAACATGGAGATCTAATCACAATTATTGACCGTTCTTTCAGGTTTGTGCATCTTATGTCAGTTTAACGCAATAGTCAGATAATAATAATTTATTTAATGTGTTTAGTCTAGAGGCCGACCTATATGGGATTTTTGGATCCGATTTTAGTGGAAATATTCACTATCAATGATATCTGCCTATTCTTTTTATTTTATATTTTATTACTATAGCTGGATAGGAAAAAAATAACATTTTCTGTATGGATCGTGCTTAAAACAGCCCTACAAAGATACTCAGAAAACGTACTTACTCAATTTGATTAAAGAACGTTAATGTAAGCACCACACAAAATTTAGGAGCACCAGAATGACAAAAAATGTTTGTGGAAAAACTGTTACTGTAGTGAAAGGAGGATAAACTGCACAGATTCCAGCAAATAAATTTGCCTCTGAAGACCGCTGCCTCATGCTAGGCTGCTGGAAAACGACATGGGACACATTTTCAATGTATTGGTATTTACTGTAGCTATGTTGTCAACAGCTGTAGCTACTGAATTCTGGTAGTTGTCACTTAAAATGAAAAACATCAATCATAACATTTGCCTCTGGCATATTGATGCGCGTTGCCTCAGTGAACGGTCCTTGCTACCCCATTGAAGTTTAAATGTAAAATGGTAAGGGTTAAGGTTCGGCATAGGTAAGGGTTATGGTTGGGGCGAGGCGCATCAATATGCCAGAGGCAAATGTTATGATTGATGTTTTTCATTTTAAGTGACACTGCAAAAAAATATTTTAGAAGCTATAGAAATGCATTTATTAATGTCTACATTCTTTTTTGCCGCATTTATTCTATTACAGACACCTTTTAATTCATACTATTAAATTATGTGATCTAAGAATGCCCCCCCCCCCCCTTTTCCACATATTGTTTGGCATGTTAAACCACACACTTGGATCCATATGGTAATGATTTATTGTTTTTAAGATTTCATTTGATATTTTCCTTTTCAGGTTTGAATACCCTCCAGCACCCACTCCAAAGAAAAATATATATTCTAAACAGAACACTCCAAGAGGGCCTAAGGCTGCGCAGAAAGTAAGCTTAGATGGTGTGAAGACCCCCAAACACATCGCTCAACCTGTTGAAGAGATTTCTGGTGACGCCCAAGAGATTTCGGATGCCATGACGACAGTGGAGGTAGTGGAAGAGCTTGCTGCTGCTCCTTCTGAGGCAGTGGAGGAAGAACAACTTGCTGCTCTTGCTGAGGCAGTGGAGGAAGAACAGCCTGCTGCTTTTGCTGAGGCGGTGCAGGAGGTAGAAGAGCAAGTTGCTGGGCCTGCTGAGGCAGTGGAGGTAGAAGTGCCAGTTGCTGCATCTGCTGAGGCAGTGGCGGTAGAAGAGCCAGTTGCTGCACCTGCTGAGGCAGTGGAGGTAGAAGAGCCAGTTGCTGCATCTGCTGAGGCAGTGGAGGTAGAAGAGCAAGTTGCTGCATCTGCTGAGGCAGTGGAGGTAGAAGAGCCAGTTGCTGCATCTGCTGAGGCAGTGGAGGTAGAAGAGCCAGTTGCTGCATCTGCTGAGGCAGTGGAGGTAGAAGAGCCAGTTGCTGCATCTGCTGAGGCAGTGGAGGTAGAAGAGCCAGTTGCTGCATCTGCTGAGGCAGTGGTGGTAGAAGAGCCAGTTGCTGAGGTAGAAGAGCCAGTTGCTGCTTCTGCTGTGGCAGTGGAGGAGGTAGAGCCTGCGACTGCACCTGCTGAGGCAGTGGCGGTAGCACATCTGAACAGTGAAGAGCCTGCTGCACCTTCTGTTCCAGTAAAAGGTAGAAGAGGCAAGAAAACGGAGGGGATTGTTCCACCACCTGCCAGACCATCTGCTAGAGGGAGAGCGGCAAGGCGTAATGAAACCAGTAGCGTTGAGGCACCAGCGGAAACAATGGACTCTGTGGATGTCCCAGAGAAAATGGCAGCTGACCCAGGTCCTGCTGAAAAGCCAAAGAGAGGAAGAAAGGCCAAACAGGCTTCTGTAGAGAAAGTTGAAACAGTGCAGGAGAATGCTGTTGAAAGTGAGAGTGCTGAAATTCCTCCAATTGAGGACCAACAGCCAACTTCTGATGTCCCTGTGGAAAAACCCAGAAGAGGAAGAAAGGCCAAACAGGCTTCTGTAAAACAAGTTGAAACTGTGCCGGAGAACACTGTTGAAGCCATGAATGTTCCTGTCACTGAGAAGGTTGAGGCCCAGACTCCAGTCTTTAGATCTAAGAGAGGAAGAAAACTGGATTCAGTAGAAAAAGTTGAAGCGGAGGTTCTTGAAATTCCTCCAATTGAGATTGTGGAAGCCAAGGAAATGCCTGCTAGTGTTGCTGTTGAGAAACCACGGGCAAGAGGAAGACGGGCTAAACAGGAGTCTGAAGAAGCCAAAACAATGGAAGAAAATGTTGCTGAAGTTGTGGCGGTTGATATTCCTCCTACAGAAACGGTGGAGGCCCTAGTCCCTGTTGCAAAACCCAAAAGAGGAAGAAAGACTAAGCAGGAGTCTGTAGAGCAAGTGGAGTCTGTGAGTGGTGAAACTCCCTTCGAACAGGTTGAGGCACAGGAGCAGGCCACTGTGGCTCCAGTTGAGAAACCCAAAAGAGGAGGAAGAAAGACTAAGCAGGCTTCTGTAGAGCAAGTTGAGGATCACCCCGTTGAGTCTCTGACTGTTGAAGTCCAGGAGCAGACTAACGTGGCTCTGGTTGAGAAACCCAAAAGAGGAGGAAGAAGGACTAAACAGGACCCTGAGTGTGTCGTCCCGCCAGTATCCACAGAGACTCAGGAGGAAACGTCTGCTCCCCCTACCGAGAAACCTAAAAGAGGAGGAAGAAGGACTAAGCAGGCTTCTGTTGAGCCTGTTGAGGATAACCCCGTTGAGTCTCTGACTGTTGAAGCCCAGGAGCAGACTACCGTGGCTCCGGTTGAGAAACCTAAAAGAGGAGGAAGGACTAAACAGGACCCTGAGAGTGTCATCCCGCCAGTATCCACAGAGACTCAGGAGGAAACGTCTGCTCCCCCTACCGAGAAACCTAAAAGAGGAGGAAGAAGAGCAAAGCAGCAGAAGGTTCCTGAAGTGGTGGAAGTTGAGAACATGGTAGTGAAGGAGGTCCACCTTTCTGCACAAACTGAGGAGGTTGATGCTAAACCAGAGCGTGAAGAGACCGTTGCTGAGGCTGAAGAACTGCTGGAAGCTCGTGTTGTCAAACCAGGATGGGGAAGGAAGGCAAGAGCTGTTGTGAAGGATGAAGTGCCTGCCAAGCGGGCACGCAGAGGAGCAGCTGATTCCACAAAGGTGACCACTGCTGCAGAAGCAACTGTCGAAGTTCCAAATGAGCCTGTCAAGCGAGCCAGAAGGGCAGCTAAATCCAAAGTCTCTGCGGATGAAACCACCATTGCAGCCGAGAGCACTCCATTGGAGTCTGAGGTAACAGACACTGAGGTCATGACTGTTGTGGTTAAAAAAGGAAGAGGAAAAGCCCCTAAAAAGGGAAATGTTTCTGAAACTACCTCTGACAAGGCAAATTATATTGAAGGCATGGAAACCATTGACGAAGACTCAAAAAATACCTCAACGTCTGTGAATTGGAAACCTGATTTGGAAGTTACACACAAGGTCACCCCTCTTCCTAAACAGAAGAAATCCAGACGGAATGATACTGTTCCTGTTACTGAGGTTGAAGAACAGCCTGAACGGATTGAAGAACAGCAGGTTGTGAAGGCAGTGCGAGGAAGAAGGGCAAGAACTAATGTCGAGGTCAAAGAGGAGACTGTACAATCAACACCCTCAAAAAGGGCACGCCATAGCGCCCCAGAGACCGCCGCTGCTGAAGCCACGGTCCCCATTTCAAAGCCTGTAAACAAAAGAAATATGAAAACTGAAGAGCCAGATCTCTCCGATAAAGCTGTTCCGAAGGAGCCTGTCAAGAAAACAAGAGGAGCAGCAAAGTCTACTGATGCAGCTACCATTGAGGCCACTAGCACTGCTCCTGCTGTCCCGGAGGAAGTGCCAGAGACCGTCTCAGAAGCCACAGTTGTGACAGCTACAAAAGGAAGAGGTAAAGCGCCAAAAAAGGGAAAAGCTGTATCTCAGGAAATTGACATTGAGCAAGCTACCGAGTCAGAGCAGCCAAGTAAGCCCCGCAGAGGTAGAGCGGCAAGAAAATAGAGCATAGGCATTCATAGATTTTTGTTTGTTTAATACTTTGGTATAAAAATGCTAATGCGTGATTGCTCAATTTATTATTTTTATTTTTTGTTGTCTGGTGTTATAGTTAGATGTATAATTGAAGTCCTTAGCAGTGCTTTACTAGATTTAGATTATTGGTCTTAATTGTGGGTATTTTTGCTACATTGTCTTACAATCCTTTTAAAGTGTAAAAAAATATTATGGTTTTCTATTCAGTCTGCAAATACTTTGGGGAAAATGGTTCATATTAAAAATCTTAAATTAAGTTGTCAGAGAATTGCTTACTGTGTTGCAGCATTATTGAGGAGGCATGATTGTTTGATTCTCACAAATTGAGTAGGCTCTGGTACTATACATTTTTATATTTGTCTTTGATTTAACTCAAACACATACAATACCACATGCATGGATGTTATCCCCCACATATAATTCATTCAAATTATTGAGGATAAATTCACTGATTTAAATATTTCCATTGTGGTTGTCTTGGCTAAAACGGCATGCCTGTTAAAGGAATAACAAGGCTTTAATGTTTGACACAACACACACAAATAAAGCAAGGAGGCAGGTCTTATATAAAGTGGCTCCAACAGAACCTGTGAAGAGAACAAATGGTGCAAAGCTCCCCATCTCTGCCCCCAGACCCTCTGAGGAAACAAGTGGTCATCTTTACTGTCAAAAAGAAGCCCTGTGACATGTAAGCTTTAAACATTTACCATCTGCTTAAAGCATGTGTCAAACTCATTCCACGAAGGGCCGAGTGTCTGCGGGTTTTCGCTCCAACCTTGTACTTGATAGATGAATTGAGGTCAATGATTAGTTAGGAACTCCCCACATCTAGTTGTCTAGGTCTTAATTGAAAGCAAAGAACAGCAGACACTAGGCCCTCCATCGAATGAGGTTGACACCCGTGTCATAAAGGAATGGACATGCTGACTGTCACAGTTGTCTGGGAGTAAAAAAAAAAAAAATGAATATTTCAAAAGTTCACGTACTGTGCAGAAAAATGCATCGTGGCCTAGCCTAGACTACCTCTGACTGCGTCCAGAAATAAAGATAAAGATGCAGTTTTCAGCTGCAAGTATGTTGTCCCTGCCAGATATTGTATTCCTCGTAGTTATAATTTCTAGTCTGTGCAAACAAGCGGTGTAGGCAATGTTCCATGTCTTTTAGCTGCATTATAAACATACAATAATTGTGAGTATGATCATTGACCGTCTTCTACCGAGTAGGAAGGAAGTGCATCTCCCCTAAATATCGCAGAAAGACATGCAACATTCTCTGACCCATCCAGAGATAGAGGGGATGCAGTTTATAGCAGATACTCTGTGAAACAAGTTTTACATGCCATGTCTATCTTAGGTTATTAACATATTTAGATTTTAATTTGTATAGAAAAATGCAAAACAGAATGCAATATTTCCATTTCAAATTATGAAATTAATATTTCTAGCGGAACTAATAATTGAGGTTTGCACATTTACCCGGACGAGAGAGCGGATGGACTAAGGAGAAGAACGCACGGTGAACGACGGAGGGAGATTTGACTGAAGTTTTTTTTCCAATAACTTTGCTGAATTGTTTATTTGTTTTCTTTCAAAATGGAAGATTTGGACAAGGACATACGAGCCACTGCGAGAGGTTTTCATTGCATCCTATGCAATGTGAATGTACCAAATAGTAAGTGAATGTCGTAGTTTAGCTATTTGATTGCAGTTAGCTAGCTAACGGCTAACCACAAACCAACCAGCTATATGGCTAACTTACTTTGTAAGATAGCTAACGTTAGCTAGCTTAACTAGATAACTGTTAACTAGCTAGTTCATTACCCTATCGTCTCTGTAAAATAATAAGCCAATCTTACAGGTGGCTAGGACAGTAACGTTAGCTAGCTAACCTTTTAGAATTTCTATGATATTTTAGCAATTTCAGTTAGGCTTAGCTAACTATATCAATTCATGACAATTGATATGCACGCTGGCTTAGTTTTACACATGTCTGCTGGATAATCTAACGTTATGCATATCCGTTTTGTGAACAATTTTCTTTACTGACTGGAAAACACTGAATCAACAGAGGCCAGTCTGGATGCCCATGTGAAAGGGCGAAAGCATGTGAAGCTGAGCATTGTGCGGGCGACTCGGAAGGCTCAGGTGGAGAACAGTGTGTTTGTCAGTGGGATCAAACCGGATACAGCTCAAGCCGACCTTGTAGACTACTTCCAAAGGTTTGGACCAGTGTCAGAGGTCATCATGGACAAGGACAAGGTGCGCTCTCTAAGTAGTAGGAGTGCTGATCTAGGATCGGGTCCCTTCTGTCAATATAATCTTATTCATTATGGTCTAAAAGGCTAAACTGATCCTATATCAGGATTCCTACTCTGACACTCCTTGTGAATATGGTGTGTTTGAGAGCAGTATGAAAGCTGGTTGGGTAGTAGCTATGGAAATAACCTTTTTATATTGCGATGGATTATCCTTGTTATGGCTTGGAATGGGATTAGTTTTCAACCAACCTTTATTTGGCGATACTTCCTTAATTCTCGACTTGGAAGGCACCAGTTCTAAACTTCCATAGTTTGTTGCAGGGGAACTTTGGAATTTAGGAAATGCTCTGTTATTAAATGAAATAAATTTTTGCACCATGAAGTATTCCAACAATGTATATCTTTTTGATTTCTGATCTTCTCTCAATTATCGAGACAGGTGGGTGTCCACCCCAAAGTGCTACACGCCATGACTGGACTCAGAAATCAAGTGTCGCTTTGAATGGCACTCGCCTTAATCGATCAATGAGAAAATATCAGAAATCGAAAAGATGGCGGCATATACATTGTTGATTACTTCATGACGCAAAACTTAATTACATTTAACGGAGCATTTGCTAAATTCCACCTGCAACTAGCCATGTGAGTTTAATAATAATATGCCATTTAGCAGACGCTTTTATCCAAAGCGACCTACAGTCGTGTGTGCATACATTTTTACGTATGGGGGGTCCCGGGGATCGAACCCACTATCCTGGCGTTACAAGCGCCATGCTCTACCAATTGAGCTACAATTGAAATCACTGGTGACTTCCAAGCTGAATTAAGGAAGTATCGGCAAGTAAAGGTTGGTTGAAAAATAATGCCTGATGGATTGAACATCCCAAACCATAACTATTAAAGGAAAACTCCACCCCAAAACTATATTTTGGTATTTGTTTCATTAGTCCATTGTTGATATAGTCCCAAAATGTTTTGCATGTCAGCAATCAAGTTTTCAAGACATGTAACTTTCAAAATACAGAAATCTGGCAGATTTCTTTATTTTGAAAGATACGTATCTTAAACTTGATTGCTGACATGCAAAACATTTAATGGTAGGATAATCTATTGCATTATAAAGGTTATTTCCATAGCTAGCCGGAGAGGAATATTCTTTGCAGTATTCTTATGGCCCCCCACCCCTAACAGTTGGTTAATACAATCCTCGGACATACCCCTTGTCATAAGTCTATAATCCATTGTGTTCCGTCCACAGGGTGTGTATGCTATCGTGGAGTTCAGTGAGAAGGACAGTCTGCAGGCCACGCTGTCCCGGTTAGAGCATGACATGAATGGGCTAAAGCTGCGGGTGAAACCCAGGGAGAACAAGGAGTTCAAACTGATCCCTAAGAAGAGGCAGGATTCCAAGAACCTGCAGCAGATACTGGAGCGGCTCACCCCAGAGCTGTGCCAGACTGCTTCTGTGAGTGTTCTTTAGTTTAGTATCTCTCTTCATTTCATGTTCCATTACTCTTTCACTCTGGTATGCGCTAGTAAGGCTTTATTCCCTGTAAGGAATGATAAAGAGGGTAAGTATTAAAGTGCTGATGAATATGATGTTATTGAAGTGGTCCTCTGTCTCCAGGTGAATGAACAGATGCAGAAGGTGGTGGAGCGATTCCAACTGGGGGAGAATGAGAAAAAGGCCAGAGAGTTACTGGTGCAACTGCTCCAGGAGGTGTTCACAGAGTTCTTCCCAGGTAGGCCAACTCTTATTGAGCCCAACTCTCATTGAGCCAAAACATGTAGCTTGAAGTACAAATTGCCCCTAACCACAGACCAAGGATCAGATTACCCCCACTCATAATCTTAACCACAAGGGGGATGAAAAATAGCTAACCCCGTGTCAGTGAATAGGGGCAGAAATTGTGGCCTTTGATGTTTGTGTGTTGGCTTGGTGCAGATAGTCAGATCCTGGCCTTCGGTTCCTCCGTCAACACATTTGACATCCACTCCTGTGACTTGGATCTGTTCCTGGACCTGGACAACACCAAGGTGTTCCAAGCTCGGGCCAAGAGTTCTTCCGAACAGGTGTGGTGGTGTCACCTTTTATAATGTCCCCCAGCGTCTCAATGTCTTTTAAATTAGCACTCCTCTTCCTCTGATGCCCTCCAGGCAGGGGAAGGTCCGTCGGACGACGCCCGCTCTGAGGACTCCATCCTGTCCGACATCGACCTCTCCACCGCCTCGCCGGCCGACGTGCTGGAGCTGGTGGCGGCCATCTTGAAAAAGTGCGTCCCTGGGGTGCACAAGGTCATGCCGGTCAGCGGCGCTCGCCTCCCTGTTGTTAAGTTCATCCACAAGGAGCTCAATCTCCAGGGGGACGTGACTATCAATAACAGGTCAGCCTATACGATGCTACTGTCATAATTAAATAGAACAAGTCATTTAATGTATCTCTATTGCTACTGTACTGTATGTGGCCCAGACCCAAACTGACCCCTAGCCCTACATCCTAGAAACCCAATAATGATCAGAAAAGTCCCCGACAACAACTCTTAGTATTTCGGGTATGAAGATAAGCGTGATGGGTCCCCACCAACCAACCTTCCTAATCTCTCTTCCTCCATCCCTCAGACTGGCGGTGAGGAACACCCGTTTCCTGCAGCTGTGCTCAGGGCTGGACTCCAGGCTGCGCCCTCTGGTCTACACCATCCGCTACTGGGCTAAACAGAAGCAGCTGGCTGGTGAGTGATCTTCACAGCACCCTGTATGAGAAACTAACATCTTAGATCAAAACCATTTTGAACTGTATTCTGTAGGGGGCAGCAGAACCTTGCATGTGGACTTTCTATCACCTTTTTGGTTACAGACAAAACAGTATTATGCCTCTTTGTGCCACATGCTTGTCATGACTGTTTTGTTTCTATGCTGTTTCTCCCATAGGTAATCCCAGTGGTGCTGGACCCTTGCTGAATAACTATGCTTTGACCCTGCTGGTGATCTTCTATCTGCAGAAGTGTGACCCTCCTGTTCTCCCCACATTGGACCAGCTGAAGGGCATGGCCTGTATGTACTTCTTCCTGTCTGCACCGCTTTAAAGCTCAACACAAATACCACATGCATGCTGATAACACACATCTCATCTCAAGTCATTTCTAAACTAAACAAAAATATAAATGCAACATACAACATGTCTGGTGAGTATGCAGGCCATGGAAGAACTGGGACAGTTTCCGCTTCCAGGAGTTGTGTACAGATCCTTTAGACATGAGGTCGTGCATTATCATGCTGAAACATGAGGTGATGGCGGCGGATGAATGGCACGACAATGGGCCTCAGGATATCGTCACGGTATCTCTGTGCGTTCAAATTGCCATTGATAAAATGCAATTGTGTTCATTGTCCGTAGCTTATGCCTGCCCATACCTTAACCCCATCGCCACCATGGGGCCTTCTGTTCACAGCGTTGACATCAGCAAAGACGCCCACATGACGCAATAGACGTGGTCTGCAGTTGTGAGCCCGGTTGGAAGTACTGCCTCATCCTCTAAAATGACTTTGGAGGCGGCATATGGTAGAGAAATTAACAAAAATTCTCTGGCCACAACTCTGGTGGACGTTGCTGCAGTTAGCATGCCAATTGCACGCTCCCTCAAAACTTTTGAGAGAAATAAACTTTTGGTGATTATTGAACAATTCTGGGATCTTTTAATTCAGCTCATGAAACATGGGACCAACACTTTACATGTTGCGTTTATATTTTTGTTCAATGTAATTAGCGTGTACATGACTTCTATTACTATTATGACTAGTATTTGTACCCTATATTAACCGACATAGTCCACTATATGGCAGACAATAGGTTTAACCTGAGGATGTGTATAGTTTTGTACTTAGTGAATTCAATTTATTTGTGTTCATGTTTTTTTCACTGTTCTTCTCTTCCTCTAAGGTGAGGAGGAAGTATGTGTGATCGAAGGCTGGAACTGCACCTTCCCCAGTCAGCCCATTGCTGTGCCCCCCAGCAAGAACACCCAGGATCTGTGTAGGTTACACCAGAAATTGCATGAAAAATACATCCAACCATGCAGGGAAAAAAAGAATGGGCCGCGTAAAATTATTTATATACAGTGAGGGAAAAAAGTATTTGATCCCCTGCTGATTTTGTACGTTTGCCCACTGACAAAGAAATGATCAGTCTATAATTTTAATGGTAGGTTTATTTGAACAGTGAGAGACATAATAACAACAAAAGAATCCAGAAAAACGCATGTCAAAAATGTTATATATTGATTTGCATTTAATGAGGGAAATAAGTATTTGACCCCCTCTCAATCAGAATGATTTCTGGCTCCCAGGTGTCTTTTATACAGGTAACGAGCTGATATTAGGAGCACACTCTTAAAGGGAGTGCTCCTAATCTCAGCTTGTTACCTGTATAAAAGACACCTGTCCACAGAAGCAATTAATCAATCAGACTCCAAACTCTCCACCATGGCCAAGACCAAAGAGCTCTCCAAGGATGTCAGGGACAAGATTGTAGACCTACACAAGGCTGGAATGGGCTACAAGGCCATCGCCAAGCAGCTTGGTGAGAAGGTGACAACAGTTGGTGCGATTGTTCGCAAATGGAAGAAACACAAAAGAACTGTCAATCTCCCTCGGCCTGGGGCTCCGTGCAAGATCTCACCTCGTGGAGTTGCAATGATCATGAGAACGGTGAGGAATCAGCCCAGAACTACACGGGAGGATCTTGTCAATGATCTCAAGGCAGCTGGGACCATAGTCACCAAGAAAACAATTGGTAACACACTACGCCGTGAAGGACTGAAATCCTGCAGCGCCCGCAAGGACCCCTGCTCAAGAAAGCACATATACATGCCCGTCTGAAGTTTGCCAATGAACATCTGAATGATTCAGAGGAGAACTGGGTGAAAGTGTTGTGGTCAGATGAGACCAAAATGGAGCTCTTTAGCATCAACTCAACTCGCCGTGTTTGGAGGAGGAGGAATGCTGCCTATGACCCCAAGAACACCATCCCCACCGTCAAACATGGAGGTGGAAACATTATGCTTTGGGGGTGTTTTTCTGCTAAGGGGACAGGACAACTTCACCGCATCAAAGGGACGATGGACGGGGCCATGTACCGTCAAATCTTGGGTGAGAACCTCCTTCCTCAGCCAGGGCATTGAATATGGGTCGTGGATGGGTATTCCAGCATGACAATGACCCAAAACACACGGCCAAGGCAGCAAAGGAGTGGCTCAAGAAGAAGCACATTAAGGTCCTGGAGTGGCCTAGCCAGTCTCCAGACCTTAATCCCATAGAAAATCTGTGGAGGGAGCTGAAGGTTTGAGTTGCCAAACATCAGCCTCGAAACCTTAATGACTTGGAGAAGATCTGCAAAGAGGAGTGGGACAAAATCCCTCCTGAGATGTCTGCAAACCTGGTGGCCAACTACAAGAAACGTCTGACCTCTGGGATTGCCAACAAGGGTTTTGCCACCAAGTACTAAGTCATGTTTTGCAGAGGGGTCAAATACTTATTTCCATCATTAAAATGCAAATCAATTTATAAAATGTTTGACATGCTTTCTTCTGGATTTTCTTGTTGTTATTCAGTCTCTCACTGTTCAAATAAACCTACCATTAAAATTATAGACTGATTTCTTTTTATAGACTTTTTTTCATTTCTTTGTCAGTGGGGAAACGTACAAAATCAGCAGGGGATCAAATACTTTTTTTCCCTCACTGTATACACTACCAGTCAAAAGTTTGGACACCTACTCATTCAAGGGGTTTCCTTTATTTTTACATTTTTTTACATTGTAGAATAATAGTGAAGATGTCATAACTCTGAAAGAACACATATGGAATCATGTAGTAACCAAAAAAGTGTTAAACAAATCTAAATATTTTATATTTGAGATTCTTCAAATAGCCACCATTTTCCTTGATGACAGCTTTGCACACTCTTGGCATTCTCTCAACCAGCTTCATGAGGTAGTCTCCTGGAATGCATTTCAATTAACATGTGTGCCTTGTTAAAAGTTAATTTGTGGATTTCTTTCCTTCTTAATGTGTTTGAGCCAATCAGTTGTGTTGTGACAAGGTAGGGGTGGTATACAGAAGATAGCCCTATTTGGTAAAAGACCAAGTGCATATTATGGCAAGAACAGCTCAAATAAGCAAAGAGAAACGACAGTCCATCATTACTTTAAGACAGGAAGGTCAGTCAATACGGAAAATGTGAAGAACTTTTAAAGTTTCTTCAAGTGCAGTCGCTAAAACCATCAAGTGTTATGAAACTGGCTCTCATGAGGACCGCTACAGGAATGGAAGACCCAGAGTTACCTCTGCTGCAGAGGATAAGTTCATTAGAGTTACCAGCCTCAGAAATTGCAGCCCAAATAAATGCTTCAGAGTTCAAGTCACACACATCTCAACATCAACTGTTCAGAGGGGACTGTGTGAATCAGGCCTTCATGGTTGAATTGCTGCAAAGAAACCACTACTAAAGGACACCAATAAGAAGAAGAGACCTGCTTGGGCCAAGAAACACGAGCAATGGACATTAGACTGGTGGAAAGTTGTCCTTTGGTCTGGAGTCCAAATTGGAGGTTTTTGGTTCCAACCGCCGTGTCTTTGTGAGACGCGGTGTGGGTGAACGGATGATCTCTGCATGTGTAGTTAGGCGTTATGGTGTGGGGGTGCTTTGCGGGTGACACTGTCTGTGATTTATTTAGAATTCAAGGCACACCTAACCAGCATGGCTACCACAGCATTCTGCCATTCCCATCTGGTTTGGGCTTAGTGGGACTATCATTTGTTTTTCAGCAGGACAGTGACCCAACACACCTCCAGGCTGTGTAAGGGCTATTTTACCAAGAAGGAGAGTGATGGAGTGCTGCACCAGATGACCTGGCCTCCACAATCCACCGACCTCAACCCAATTGAGATGGTTTGGGATGAGTCGGACGGCAGAGTGAAGGAAAAGCAGCCAACAAGTGCTAAGCATATGTGGGAACTCCTTCAAGACTGTTGGAAAAGCATTCCAGGTGAATCTGGTGGAGAGAATGCCAAGAGTGTGCAAAGCTGTCATCAAGGCAAAGGGTGGCTATTTGAAGAATCTCAAATATAACATATTTTGATTTGTTTAACACTTTTATTGGTTACTTCATGATTCCATATGAGTTTTTTCATAGTTTTGATGTTTTCTCCATTATTCTACAATGTAGAAAATAGTAAAAATAAAGAAAAACTGAGTACTGTATATATCCATTTATCAGACACTTTTATCCAAAGCGACTTAGTCATGTGTGCATACATGGGTGATTCCGGGAATCAAACCCTCTATCCTGGCGTTGCAAGCGCCATGCTCTACCAACTGAGCTACAGAAGACCAGACCAAGCTACAGAAGATGTGAGAACAGTTAGCACCTTCAATTCTACTATTGATATTCTATTTGGTTTAGAGAAAAACTAAGAGGACCAAGCCGCTCTTCATAAAAGTAATTGAAATGCCTTAGTTGTATTGGCAGATAAAATCTGTTTTTAGACAGATTTTAAAAACTCTGCCGCCGTTTGGCATTCGTTAGGGCGTGATGGTGGAGTTGGATGTATTTTTTTCAGGTTCTTAATGAAATACGTCCTCCTCTTGCCCAACTTGCCCCAAGTAAATCTTTGGTTTAACACCCTCTGATGTTTTTCCACTGATTGATTTTAGGCTGAAGAATAGCGTGAAGCTTTCATTTGTTTTTCTCTGTAGGTGCCCTGCTCTCGGGCTTCTTCTCCTTCTACGCCCAGTTCGACTTTGCCAGCTCTGTCATCTCCATCAGGGAGGGCTGCTCTCTCCCCATCACCAGCTTTCTTAGCCTAGACAAGGTAAAGGGGGAAGGGGCGGCCATGGAGCAGGAGAGGTCCTCAGGCCCTAAGCTGGGCCCCCTCAACGTGCTGGACCCCTTCGAGCTGCACCACAATGTGGCGGGAAACCTAACGGAGCGCAGCCAGAGAAGCTTTCAAAGGGAGTGCCAGGAGGCAGAGAAGTACTGCCGCAGCCTGCAGTACAAGCGCAAGTCCACCAAAGGTAAGGTGTGGGGCCTGGTGCGCCTTTTCACCCCCCGGGACGAGGGCCCTCACCCCCACCACCACAAGAGGGCTGAGGGGGCGGAGAGGGAGCTAGCCATCAGCATCCCCTTCAAGGCGGCTTCGCTCCCCGAGGTGGTCCGCAGCCAGCTGCGCTCTGCAGGGGATGGCTTCCGCCTGCTCTGGTTCCAGAGGGTGTGCTCTGCAGTGGAGGGGGTGTTTCAGGGAGTCCTCAAGTGCAGCCTAACTAACACATTCATGGGGGAAAGTACTGGAGCTGAAGGAATGGATACTGCATCACCGATTGGCAAATCAACAAACAACAATGGTGAGGACACCAGCCGCCGTGACTGCAGCCCCCAGAGCAAGGCCACCCCGGGAGCCAAGAGAGCCCTGCTGTCCTCTGAGAGCAGCGACGCCTCCGTGTCCCCGCAGGGCAAGAGGCCCAGGCTGGACAGTTACATTGGGCCCCAGCCTGGGTCTCCACGCTGGACCTACGTCCAGAGGCACAGGGTGTGGGCGGGCCGTCGGAAGGTAAGGAGGGAGCTGCTAAAAGGGGTGATGGACATGGACTCCAGGCCAGAGGGCAGCAGTGTGGAGCTGGAGACCCAGGTGACTCAGAACATAGTGGACAAGGAGCCGGAGGACAAGGAGCCGCTGGAGTTCCAGGTTCAGGCCCAGGTGGTGGGCGGCACAGAGAGCACCAAAGCCATGATCAAGTTCCGACCCTCTGCCGATTGCGCTGGACTGTTCCAGGACTTCTTTCACTTCTTGGAGATGTTCTTGCCCAAGATGGCCGACACACTGATGGGGAAGACTGGGTAGAAGATGGCAGATGATGCCGGACTGTTTTTTAAAAGGGTTGTGTGTGTTCTGATAATTATCCCTTTTTCTTTTTTTTTTCTGGAAAAGTGGGTGAAACTGGCCATTTTACATTATTTTCATATTATTAGATTTTTTTGTTGTTGATAAAAGTAAAGAAGTTGTCTCTTCTTGAAAGCTGTTCCGACCAAGATGGCTCTGAAGTGTTATGAAAGGGCTTGAGTAAAGCTTGTATTGATAAAGCCATGAAAAATATTGATTGTGCGCTGTTATGGAATTAAGTTATGTTTTATTTGTCTTAGATTAGGGTTGGCCATTGTTTTATTTGAAGTGCCCTGCAGCAATACTCCTTTGTATTGTTTCAGTGATTTGTTTGATTTGACCTCTTGTTTTAGTGTGCCCCCTTATGAGGGGCAAAAAATTGTTTGAAGGGAATTAATGTAAGTAACAGACATTGCCTCTGCACACAACCACCATTAACTGAGGCTATTGAAAACTGTTCTCAACAGTTGGAATAAATGAAAAACAACTTTATCAAGCAATAGGACAACTTGAATCTTTTTTTAAATTTATATTTTCATACGCCGACTTTTGCGCTCTGTCCTGGCGGCGTTGTGCCACAGAATCTATCCAATGTTTAAGTATTGTAGAAGCTCCCATGTCCATAAATCACAATGGTAGGCAGTCCACTTTAGGTCTCCAGGAGGACTTGTCTGTTTGTTACACAGGTCATAAATACATGGTGCATGCATCATTGACCCTCTGTCCACCATTGAAACAGCCTGGCAGACACAGGTCTATGCCAGGGGAAGTGTGTTTACTGGAAGCCTGGTCCAGATAGGCCCCTCTGCTCATACGACTCAGACAAACAACTGCAGTTGTTAGTTTGAATCCCTGAGCCGACAAGGTGAAAAATCTGTCTGTGGCCTTGAGCAATGCACTTAACACTAATTGCTTCAGGGTCGCCATTGATAATGGCAGACCCTGGCCGTGACCCCACTCGCCAAACCAAATAGGACAAATATAAGCACCCACCGAATGTGTATTATTATTGTTATTAAGCAGGAGCCACAGCTCCGGGAGGCGCAGCGCTCACAACCCCATGCTCAGATTAACATCGTACATCTCATCTTTTGGCCAAATCAGATTAATAGCAGTAGACTTCAGCTATCATATGTGTCTGTTGGTGGCCACTGGTCACATTATCTGTGTTTGATGTTGGTGTCTAGCAATGTTCTTCTTGGATCCAACCTCATTTAAATTAGAACTATGCCATGATTATGAATGGCTGGCTTGGAACCCATTTTTTTTCTCCAGTGGAATAAAATCACTTGATAATGATGGACACCTGTGTATATTTTACAAAAATAATGTGGACACACCTTCAAATTAGTGGATTCGGCTATTTCGGCCACACCCGTTGCTGACAGGTGTATAAAATCGAGCACACAGCCATGCAATCTCAATAGACAAACATTGGCAGTAGACTGGCTCGTAATGAAGAGCTCAGTGACTTTCAATGTGGCGCCGTCATAGGATGCCACCTTTCCAACAAGTAAGTTTGTCAAATTTTTGCCCTGCTAGAGCTACCCCGGTCAACTGTAAGTGCTGTTATTGTGAAGTGGTAACGTCTAGGAGCAACAACGGCTCAGCCGCGAAGTGGTAGGCCACACAAGCTCACAGAACGGGACCGCCGAGTGCTGAAGCGCGTAAAAATCGTCTCTCATCGGTTGCAACACTCACAACCGAGTTCCTAACTGCCTCTGGAAGCAACGTCAGCACAAGAACTGTTCGTCAGGAGCTTCATGAAATGGGTTTCCATGGCCGAGCAGCCGCACACAAGCCTAAAATCACCATGCGTAATGCCAAACGTCGGCTGGAGTAGTGTAAAACTCTCCGCCATTGGACTCTGGATCAGTGGAAACACGTTCTCTGGAGTGATGAATCACGCTTCACCATCTGGCAGTCCGACAGACAAATCTGGGTTTGCCGGATGCCAGGAGCACGCTACCTGCCCGAATGCATAGTGCCAACTGTAAAGTTTGGTGGGGGAGGAATAATGGTCTGGGGCTGTTTTTCATGGTTTGGCCTAGTTCCAGTGAAGGGAAATCTTAACGCTACAGCATACAATTACATTCTTGACGATTCTGTGCTTCCAACTTTGTGGCAACAGTTTGGGGAAGGCCCTTTCCTGTTTCAGAATGACAATGCCTCTGCACAAAGCGAGGTTCATACAGAAATGATTTGTCGATTGGTGTGGAGGAACTTGACTGGCCTGCACAGAGCCCTGACCTCAACCCCATCGAACACCTTTGGAATGAATTGGAATGCAGACTGCGAGCCAGGCCTAATCTCTAAACATCAGTACCTAACTTCACTAATGCTCTTGTGGCAGAATGGGAGAAAGTCCCCGCAGCAATGTTCCAACATATAGTGGAAAGCCTTCCCAGAAGAGTGGAGGTTATTATAGCAGCAAAGGGGGGACCAACTCCATATTAATGCCCATGAATTTTGAATGAGATTTATGACGAGCAGCTGTCCACATACTTTTGGCAATGTCGTGTAGCTACTAGAACCATGCCATCACTGAAGACTGAAGTGTTCACAGACCATAATGTACTGTAGCATGTTCAATACATGAAACAAAGGCTAAAGGTTCTGTCACAATTGCCAATTCAGTGAGCACCCATCATTCCTGTACAGTCTTTGAAGCCTGTCTTGGCAGCTACATCAAAGACTCACAGAAACTCTGCTTCTTTGTGAGATGTTTTACACATTTCCTAGAACACAGCTATGTCAGAAAATAACAAGGCTGGAAGAAATTGAATAAAAAATGGAGTTTTGCCATATGGCAAAATACCTGCTATTGTCCTCAATGATCAGTCCCAAAGAAGTCCAACAGGGAAGCTCCATCATTGAACCCCTCACAAACCACCTAATTTAATATTCAGTGTCATTGGTGTCCATGTACAGCCACTGCGTCCATTTGTTCCCCAGACACCCTACATTCCTAGGTATTCAGACCAATGGCATCATCAATTAGTCCTAACTCCCAATAGACTTTGAGTCAATCGAAGTTACCCATGAAAATAAGGTTTATGTGGCTGTCTTTTCTGTCATCAACAGATATATCAGGTGGCTTTCTATTGGTTTAATTAGTCAGATCTGTTTTTAAGGAGGGAAAAAAACAGTTAATTGCTTCTACAGGCAGACTGGCTTTGTTCCTCTGGAGATGACGATTTGCATCTGTTGTGAGGGAAATCAAAGCAACGTTTCTCATCCATAGCTAGCAGAACTGATGGCTGCCGATTTGTGGTGAGAGACATGGAGTTTAATATGTTGCGTGGGTGTCATTATGAGAAGTAATATGTATACATAGAGGGATTTATGTGTAAAAAGAGTAAACCCTTTTTGGACACATAAGCTACAAATGACATACCGATAGCCAGGCATTTCTTACTATACCTATTCTCTTCCATGTGTGGTGACTCAAAGGTTATATTCCTCACATTAAAAGGATAACCCCGTCTCATTGTTTGGTTAGTGTCTTTCGATAGTGCTTCTGAGTGACGCTCAGAGGGTTTTCAGGGCAGTTCATGTATTCATCAATTATTGCGCTAACAGTCGTCAACCTCCGTTTTCTATCCAATGAAGAAGTCTGCAGTGCAAACAGACCGGGTTGACTGGATCACTGGAAAGCACTCTGCTCACATTAGTGGCTGCCTCACTTGGAAGATAAGGCTAAATAAACCTCGCAATACTACCGGAAGGAGTCAGAGATTTCTTTGGGGAGACATCCATGATATGAAGCCAGTGGGTTTCTGTCAGTGTATTAGTCCTCCCTCTACTACACTACTATATTTAGAAGCAGCAAGCGTCATGAGTACAAAATAGGGTACAATCATGTTGTCTAGTCTTCAAAGCGAGAGGTTTTTCAAACAATAGAGGATTTTGGTCTAGCATTCTAACATGCATACTAACATAGTATTAGCATATCTGGTTTTCCATGGAATATATTTATATTTAAATATCAAATGTTCACTGTTAAAGAAGGATCATCAGCACATAAATTGGTATCAGTTATATCTGTAATTGAGTAGTGGGCACAACAACATTAGTAACAAAATATGGCAAGGCCTGATGCAGATGTGAAACATCATAAATCCAGTGTACTGTAATCTCAGCCAGATTCTGTTGGCATTGAGCCAGGTTGTGACTGAGTTGGAAATGAGTTGTATCTCCTGCTGTCTTGGAGTGCATTAGCCTGAGACTTATCTGGGGGAGTTTATTGGGCCCGATGAGCCATGGAAATACTCAACTGTCTGCCTTTTTGTTATCTTCCATCACTTCTGAATGTTTACCCGTAGAGACGGAGATCTAGTGAGGAGATGAGTTTGCCTTCTGCCTGTTGTTGTTTCTTGTCATTGACTTTTATTGCGAGTAGGGTAAACAGAAAGAGGCAGCAGATTGTGATCACGGGAGAACGGACAAGTTGTAGTGGGATACACTGTGCTTTTACTGCTATCCCATAGACAAGATGTGAGGGGTGCAAGAGAAAGGTACAGTGGGGTCCCAAATTATTGACACCCTTGATAAAGATGAACAAAAATGACTAAAATAAATAATGCAAAACTGAGCTATTATTGTGTGCTCCAGAAAATTGGGAAATTATATTTTATATTAATACAATTGCTCAGAGAAAGATATTTTGTTTAACAAGTAAAAATTATATTTCTCAAAAAGGTAGGGGTCAAAATTATTGACACCCCTGTTTTCAATACCTTTCAATACCTCACCTTGCAAGGATAACGGCACTGAGCCTTTTTCTAAAACGTTTTATGAGTTGGAGAACACATTGGGAATGATCTTAGACCATTCCTCCATTCAGAATCATTCCAGATCCCTGATATACTTTGTGTACTGTAAAATATGGTGGCAGGTCTTTAATGTTATGGTGCTATTTTGCTTCTACTGGTCCTGGGGCCCTTGTTAAGGTCAACAGCATCATGAACTTTACCCAGTACCAGGACATTTTAGCCAAAAACCTAGTTGCCTCTGGCCGCAAGTGGATCTTCCAGCAAGACAATAACCCCAAGCACACATCAAAATCCACAAAGAAATCAACATTTTGCAATGGCCATCTCAGTCTCAGGACTTGAAACTAATTGAAAACACTTTGGGTTTCTACAGCACAACAGCAGAGTCATGCCGTAAGTGTAAAACTAATAATGACTCAATAATCCATGCTTTCTGGGAATGCTATAAAGTCCAGAAATTGTGGGCGGAGCTAGAAAGCTGGCTGTCAGAAGTATTACAATGTACATTTTTAATCTGTGTGTCTGCATATTTCAAGACATGGCATATGGGGGTGTAGTGAGAGAGCCAATGGGCTGGACCCATCACACATCTTGAAAAAATGTGGAAATCAATCAATCTGCCATCATTAACACAATGGAAAAATGATTATTGAAATATTGAAATAGCATGGGTGACTGAGAAAAACAAATGGATACAATTTGCAGGCAATAATGCAGGCGCTAGGAATGGGGGCGTGAACATGCGGGTCTCGGAAGATTAGATGCAGTCATTGTTTGCGTCTGTAAGTTGTTGTTCGTATGAATATGTTTTTATATGGAGTTGATAAAAAACATTATCATAATTGAAAAAAGAAAACCTGTGGTTTGAATTGAAGAGGGCAGTCCATAAGCGCAGACGAAGGATATCAAGGATCTGGAAAGATTCAGTATGGGGGAAGGATCTAAGATCCCTCCCAATGTGTTCTCCAATCTCATAAAAAAATTTTTTTTAAAGGCTGTCGTTATTCTTGCAAGGGTAGGGTGCTGGAATACAGAAAACGGGTGCCAATCAATTTTACCCCTATCTTTTTTTAGATTTTTTTTTATTACGTGTTAAACAA